TCTAGAATTAGTTAATCCAAAAAGTATAAGCATATATTTACTTATTTTTTATAAAACATATAAGTCTATTTAATTTTATTTTTTAAATCTATATTTTTGAAAAAAAAAATTTAGATCTATCCTAAAAAAAATTCTTCAAAAAAAATATAAGATAAATATAGATTATAGATGGGATGTTTAGTTGCAGAATCGTTCTGCTATGTTAAGGTTCTGCAAAAAGCGTTAGTTTGTAGCTAATTTGTGAGATTAGAAGGTAATATAGGGGTTATATATTAATTTGTATTAAACAAATTTGGAATCATCATTGTTCTAAACGTATACTTGTTTGAAAGCATTTTTTTTATTTCAGAAGTTCTGTTTTTGAGTATAAGCTAGCTTGGACTAAAAGTCGTAACTACTACTATAATATTTCAGGAATTATTAACTTTCACCAAAAGGAACCAATACTCCTAATGGACTTACCTTTGATGTTGATGTTCAACCGCTATATTAATTTCGATATTATTGCAATATGGCATTTAGTTTGTTTCTTTTAAAACCGCACATACTTTACTCAAAGTGTATAATAAGATCATGTGTAAATAAATATACTAAAGCATATAATGCGAAAAGTTTTATGTTTTGCTTGATAACACTTCGGCCCTCATGCAGAGAAAAATAAATAATAATAGGAGTGTTTGAGAATTGGTCTTGAAAAAAGAAAAGAGAATTAGGACATGTCAAATTCAACGTCAGAGAGGGATAAGCACATGCGGATGGAACCCGCACAGCTTAAGAATTCTCGTATCGTTGAAGTCCCTACACAAGATTCTGATGAGTTAATAATCATCTAGAACACAGTCTGGTAAGTTGTGAATCCACCTTAAGTATTTGGACGGCTAAGATATAAGGATAAACTGATCATTGACCTCATTCGAAGTACTTATTATCCGACCATTGAAATAGACTATAAATAAAACTAATTCTCATTGAATGACAAATTTTAATTTAATTTTATAACTCGTAAACCAGCGTTAATCCAAGGAAATTACTAATTAAAAATAATGAGAGTAAGTCAAACTTAGCTTTTAAGAAAAAAACATGAATCTATATGATTGCGATTAGTAGCTTAAATGCAATAGAATTGAGTCAAGTCGAGTTGTAAAATACAATTTTTAATCTTCTGCAGAATAGTAACAAATATTTTCCTCCCAAATTTCTTTATACTTTCAAATTTAATGGAATATTATTCTTTACACCTTTCAACTCAAATAATGAGATTGTTAAAAATTTAATTTCACAAATTTGTGTTCAACCTAAATGTTAAACATTTAGAGGAATGCTTAATGCAAAAGTTAAGTAATATATACACCAGCAAATGAGGTATAACTATCGCCAAGCGTTACGGAAGAAGGTATCAAACACTGAATCACACATATTAGTTGGATGATTATGATCAGATTGATCATTCGAGCTCAACTACACTCGGAGACGTCATCTTGGTTGTTTAATATATAGTGTTCTTTTTCAATTTTCCTTAATTTTCTTCTAAATATTTCAAATTTAATGCACAACAGAGTGATATCCTACCTACATGCAAATAATGTAGAAATATTAAAGAAAACTGATTTTGCGGTTTATGGTTGGCTTTTTAAAGTTAATATAGTAAAATATGGTCATTGTAAGCAAAATAAGCATCTTATTGAGAAATATTCGAAGACTACAATTTATAGTTTACATACCTAAGATATATAGGTGAATTTTTACATTTGTAGTTCTCCACGTTTATTTGATGCGGACTGGCATGTACAAACTTAACTGCTCATGAAGTGATATGTCATGACTCATAATATCATCGTTTTCGTAGGTCCATTTTTTTACCGTACCCGGATTAAGTGTTTTTTTTTTAACTTACGGATTAAGTGTTGAAGGTGTAACTTTCTACTCATTTTATTCATTTAACTTGTTAATCTATTAGGCAGCAATATTACTCTTGGATATTGTCTCTTTGAACGCAATATTTAAATTAAACGCTTGTAAATGGATAGGTATAGACAGGGCTGCCCTGAGCTAAAGCTCATAAACAATTCATTTTATGTGCCAAAATTTGTAAGAAAAACTATAAAAAATTTTAGGATTGTGCTTAGAGCAATCCAATGGGAGATTTTAGTTTTGGAGTTTTCAAAATACATATATGTGTATATATATGTTAATATTAGTATTTAATTGTGAAAATTTAACTTTATGGAAAAATTAACCATAAAATTATGTGTATAAAATTTCTTATTCGAGTTTTAGTAAAATTAAAAACCTTACATATACATAGATATATATATTTTAAGAACCCCAAAACGAAAACTTTCCATCCACCAAGGTCGGAAGTGCTACATATTTACTAATTAGCATATCGTACACAATTTACCAAACACACAAAGAAAAGACCGAATTATCCTTTCCGTTTTGCATCATTACGACGAGTTATTTCGAATCATTATCATATACTTATCACAAGATTATGTCTGTTGCATTATTAAGGCATAGCCGAATAAGAATGGGCTTGGGTTGCAGTTTATTTTTACTTTTTGGTTGCAGTTACATTTTGTTTAGGTCTGTTATGCTAGTTAACTAATTAATTTGGTACTTCAAAATAAAACTCGAACCTTGTCTATTGTATCTTAGTGGACTCAAATTGTCTATTGGATCTTCGAAAGCATAAAAGATGTAAACGATATAAATTTATTAGTTTATATGAAAATATTGGCTTCATATCTGAACTTGTCATTCACTCCAGTATAAAGCTTACCACGATTTGCTTATGAAATTCCCTTCATATACCAACCATGTTTATCGATATCGTATGGCTGATAAGTGATGAATGAATCAAACTGATTCCAAATGTAACGACTCATGGAATAAAAAGACCAATATCTCACGTACCAACAAATGTCGCCATCACTTTGCTACCTTCCTTCTTTTCCAAGGAATTTTCGTGCCTCAAAAATGAAAAAAAGGTTGGCAAAGGTATATATCATTAAACGAGTGAAGGAGATTTTATTTACAGAAATTACATCCCATAACCCAAAAAATCAAAATTAACTAACTAACCAAAATCTAATTCTCTCTTCCTATGTCTCTATCTTCTCTCTAATAAACTATTTTTTTCTTTATTTTTGTTTTTTGAAACACAGCATTTTTTCTGGTAGGTGCGGAAGGCTTGTTTCTTGATTATTCACTGAATCTATCAATTCAGGGGCATAGCTGAACGCAAAATAATAAGAAGAACAAGGATAGACAAGTAAAGGCAATACTCTAATCCCATTGGGCCGCTCTTCGCTGTCCTTCCGAAAGAATCTCGCCTTCTCTTTGGTTTCACGATTCTAAATTTAATTTTAAATTATTGTTGTACCCAAAGGACATTTTTCTTGTTAGTGATCTCCTTACTGGCTACAACTATCTTTAACCGACAACAGTCTTTAAACCATTTGGAGAAAAGTTTCGACCAAACTTTTCACTCGTACCCTTTTTTGGTAATTCTTTCGCTTGTACCTTACTAAAAAGGCCATAAGCATAGTCTTTTCTAACATAGTATTCACCATTCATAACTAGTGCGGTAGATCCACATGATTTGCCTCATTTGTCTTTCTTCTCCAACTCGAGTTTGGGTTCATATGTAGCTCATACTAAGACTCAAGCTGCATACATTCCTAGAATAATATAGGTAAAAAAGTAACACCACTGAGAATTTATCAACGTCCATATATCACAAAAAAAAAAAAAAAAATCCATCTTAACAAATTCCTAATGAAATAGCTCTAAATATATATATATGGATTCTTTATTTATTCATCATGTAATGTGGCGTTTTATGTGGGTATAGAATAGGATACACATGACATTTTTGTTATAAATGTTGTATATTTGTGGTAGAAAGTGTTTTATATGATTACTACCAAACACCAACAGCCATTATCACACACAAAAGAAACATCAACGGTTAAAATTAGTTTTTACAAGGATAGACCTTTCTCTCTCTCTATTTCAAAACTAATTACATATAGAAGACAAAACTATATAGTAAAACTGATTTACTAAAATATATCCTTTCAAGACATACTTCCTTTTTTTTTTTTTTTTTTTGGGTAAGACATACTTCCTTTTTAACTCGACCAATGTATATAAATAAATCATTCACAGGTTCATTATATTCTGATAAACCTGTACACATTTTCTTCCATATGTCCGTGGAAGGGAATGTATCAGGCCAGAATCCAACCTATCTTATTAGCAAAAAATCCAGGCTGTCTGAACACTCGAACTAGATTACGGCGAAACAAGGACAATTAACATTACGTACCGTATATTGTACTTTTTACTGTTCGGAGAACGTGAAGACAGAAAAAGCTTTGATGAGAGTGAAAACATAGCAAAGTGGCTCTCACTGATATAGTCTTATCATTCACATGACTTGGTCGGATTGTTCTTTCAATCCTTTTTCCAATCACTACGGTCCAATTAAAAACTGCTTTCGCCGAAGTTAAAGAAGATAACATTTTTAGTTGTAAATCCACACTAATCTATTTTTATATTAGAGGTTCGTTATTGAAAATAATATAAATGCCAAATTTCTAAAATTTATTTAATGTGCTGTAAAAAAAAATTTAATGTATATAAAATTAATTTTTTATTTTAAAATAATACATTTTTACATAAAAAATCTAAAAATGATACTTTCTGTAAATTAATAATTCTATGCTTTATGATTATTTTGCATAATATTTTTACAATTCAGTTCTTTCCATGATTCTGCCACTATTTAGTTTGCATACTATAACCAAGCCAACTATTTAAAATAGCTTTTTATATAGAACGTAATTTATTAATCCTTAATATGACTTAAATTATATTTAAATTTGTACGAACTCACTAGTCAATTACAATATCACAATAGTATTTAATAGTCTTTTTTTCTAACATATAGTGATGTTAGTTAATCATTTATTTTATTATTTTAGCTCCATCTCTATAAGAATAATGATCATTAACACAACAATGCGCTGGAATTTTACATAATATTCGTTAGAAAATCATATTTACAATTTAATTGAAAATGGAGCATATACAGCCAACACTCACAACACCGACTCGGTAGAAAGACTCACCCACCTTTCACGGCCACCTCTTTTGTATTCGCCACCGCGTCTGGCTCAGCTCAAACTCGCCGCCTCACTCAGCAAGAAACCAATAAATAAACATAAATGTCAATGACCATTATTTCAAAACTGGCTTCTATTTTCTTGTACGTGATGATCACCATATTGCTTTCTCAGAGACGCCGTGAAGCAAAGGCCGAGATTCAATCCATAGATCACGCATGTTTCTGATCTCCACGTGGCAGTTCTTCTTGAAAACGTCGGTGCATGTAAACCCTCTTGACCGGGTCGAACCAGAACAAGATATAAACCGAATAGACTCCTCGAAAACCGACTCTTCACAGGGGAAAACCAACGGGCCTTGGTTCACGAAACCGAACTCTTCCTCGGCTTGAACCAGAAGATTTCTTAGGACAGGATGGTTAAGATACGTTGCTCGCACGACATATCTTCTGCGGCTTCTCCCCACGTAGACAGCCACGTGTCCAGACGGTACATCAGACGGGACACTTCGGCTGAAAGAAGACATCCGTGCTTGGTCTCTCCACCGTCTAAGCAACTGTCTCAGCGTCACAATGTGACGAATCTTGCTGCATTTTCCGAGACCTCCAGCCATTTTCCCGGTTAAGTAGTTTCTGTCCGGTTAAGTGTGACAACGAGAGAGAGAAATAAAATGTGAGAGGGATTTTGAGAGTTTGCGAGATGAGGTTTATATAGTAAAGGAAGTAACACAATGCCACTGGTTTGTGAGATATTTACGAAATTACTTTTTGCTCTATTCGTTTCCATAATTAAATTAGATCAGTGTGATCGGTAAGATTAGTTTTAATTAATTTGCTTACAATAGATATTAGATACGAATCATATGATTCTTAAGAGGCGAATCAAAGATTTTAGTATGTTTTTTTCCTCTTCATACATTGGATGGTGCATGAAGCAATGGTACAAAACTAGTGGTTGTTTATGGTTCGTATATATTCCATGGGTGTAATAATTATGCTAATGAATCTATCGATCATGGAAAGAATTATAAATAGTCGTCAAGATGTATTAATCAATACTATGTACTGATTAAAGAAGTGTCACTTTTAAGAAAAAAAAGATGGTAGGGAAATTAAGAGCATGCATGTGCTAGTGTTGGATAAGACGACCAGTCTTCGGAAATAGTTCAAACATCACCTTGGGATTTGATTAATTAGTGACATATTAGAGTCAATATCTTGCTTTATATTAATGTTCTTGTTTGGTTATAATCATAGCGTTCAGACGTTAACAACAGATAACATGATGCGATTCTATGTATTGACCTAATATAAAGGTACGTGGTATAGGCACATATAGCTGACTGATTCACATCTAACAACTAACATGGGTGGACACAAAAATTACACTAATTAGTTTACGCGAAATGTTTATGTGATTTCTTTTAAAATTAAAAGTTCACCAAAAATAACAATACGGAATATGATATTCAAAGTATGATCATATAGCAGATGCAAAAAGATCATATTGGTTTGCTTTTTAAAACCTTTTTTTTTATGATTGACTTTATATACATCAAGTGAATTATATTATTTTGTTAATAATTACATCGAGTACATAATTACACCCACATAATTATTAGATGTACTTATATATCTAAAACACATGATTAATCAATAATCTTCGATCATATCATATGTGTTGCGTATAATCAATGAAGTCATACCGATTCAGACAAACAAAAACCATTTGGAGAAGCTTTATTTAAAAAATTACTCCTATAAGATAAATATGTTTAAAACTAATAAAAATTCGTAGCATAAATAAAATTATACATAACTTTAAACAGTTTATACATGCTGATTCGTGAATGTTTTAATGAATTGTTCTTTTCAAATATTTTTCAGATTTCCTACGGACTTTTTATCTATCATATACAGATAAATATTCTCATTGCTAACATGAATTCAAAATATACAACTTAGAAAAGAAATATATCTAAAAGCTTTCATACTATTTAAGGTTGGGAATTCTTTCAGTTTCAAACATAACTGTAAAACCTGTACATTTTAATATCAGTCATGGACATAAGGGACACTAACTCAAGTAGACATTTTTTACGAGATGTTGTTGAAAAGTGTATTATGCGCGACCAATCAACAATAATAGTAGTTTTTTTGTAGTAATCAGTAGTTACAACTTACAACTTGAAAGTTGCACAAAACTATGTAATTAACCGAACAAAAACGAATAAGAGGAAATTATTTGGATAGAATAAGATTAAAGTGCTTTTAGAACGTAGATATATGCTTCGAGCCTTGAAGATAGTTCGTACTTGTACAATCAAGGGCCATAAGCCACCCCCGGCCGCATGAAGGGTCAAAACTTTTATATGTATAAGCATAATACAAAAGATATATTATTAAATAAATTATTCGCGCACGGAAGTGGGAGATTCATGGTTTTTGTTAAATATAATAAATAAACTCCACCACATGGGTAGCTGGAAAAAGGTAGGAAAATGTATTTTAAATAATGTAATTATTTATTTGACAGAAAACAACGTAATTACTTATTTTATATGTGATTCAAATACTATTACCAAACACAGAAAATTATATAAAATGTTCTCTTACAAGAAAAATATAAGATTTCCTGAAGATGCATTTTTGTTTACGGAGGAAATTAAACTGAAGTATTAACATAAAAATAGATAATAATATGTTAATTTTAAAAGTGTGTTAAATTTTTGTCCACTAATAAAAAAAAAAATATCATCCGTTGCGGCATACGTAAACGCAAGAAAAATAGATTCCTTACTGACATATAGGAATGTGGGATCGAAAGCCTATGTAGAAAAATATACCTTTAAAGATTTGAATAGTTATTTTTCTTTAGTAAGAATGATTTTCTAAAAGGAAAAAAAAAATTGAAGTTTGTTATAGATAAAAATCTAAAAAAAATTAAGTTTAATTATTTATTTACATATCAACATATAAATCCTAAAGGGATATTCTCAATTCGTTTTCACTTTTAAATTTTCTTATAATTTTTTAAAGTTGATTCGCGCTTGTTATATCATCATTGTGTAATACGGTAGTTTACAAATGTGTCCATGCCCCCCATGTGCACGAATGTCTCATCTCCAATTATTTATTTATATTTTATAAAGTAACATGCAGCTAAAAATTATTATCATACACTGTATTAAGGGAAAATGCGCAAATATAATTGGCTACACTTATTCATATAGACTATACATTTTCATGTCATGTATTAAGGGAAACTGCATGCGCAAATTATAATTGCCTAAACTTATTCATATACTATACATTTTCATGTCATGTAAACGCTTGAATCATTGTTACTGTTGGTCTAAAAAGAGTACTCACTTTCAGTTTGTTTTTAAAACTTCAAGATGATGTAAACTATATATCATATATTACAGATATTATCTTCTCTATGAACTATTGTTAGCTACATATATAACATTTTGTGCAGCCATATTCTAAGTTCTTCACCGTTGTAATTAAATAATGAATTAATTACATTGAGTAAACTGTTGAACCGGAAAAGAAACATAAAATCGTTAAACAATAATCCACTGTCCACACCTCGAGTTCCTATCACTCCTACATATCACATTTTCAGCATGTGGCATGATGATAACCCTAATATGTTCACTTATCATATTAATTTAGTCGAATATTCATGAATTTATGTAAAAAATTATACTGAAATAATTTGGAAGAAATGATTGAAGCCTTGTACTAAACGAAAATATTGAATATATTATATACTAGAATAATAACAAAGAAAGCACTAAGAAAAATTCATATAAATAAAAGTGGGTCCAAGTGCATGTTATGGAATATGCATCCCCCCCATGCGACGTTACGTTCTCGCCCAACTTGTTCGGTTTTAAGGATCTCCTCAGTTAATTTCCTCCTCCTAAGCCAATCTTCATTAATGCTTGCAGGTATTATTATTATTGGTAATCATCAATGGAACAGAATATTAGTATATTTTGTCTTTATAGATATAGATACACTTATATGAGAGTCGATCATATGCTACGAATCGGCATTGGATTGTCTCTTTCTGCCCTCCATGCACCAAATTGCAATGCACGCACGACATGAGCAAATAAACATATTATATGCGATCAAAACCATTAGTCAATTTGCTTAATTTGTTTTTACTATGACACAAATCCCATCAACCAAAAAAAAAATCCCATCAGCCAAAATATATGCGTAATGTCATTTGTTGAAGCTGCAACAGTATACATATAGATCTGTAATCATCTCTGACGACCGTAACTATGAGAAGATTCGATGTACCCGTAATGCGATTCTTGTTTGATTGTTAAAACTTTAGTACATCACTATGTGTGTTTCAAAATAAAAAAAAAGTACATCACTATGTAAATTTCTGTTGTAAATTGTAATTGTTGACAACAAAAGAACGTTGTGATGATAATTAATTAACCAAAATATAGTTAAGCCTGAAACGTTTACGCGCGAGGCACTGAATCGTGATGATGTGGAGCAAAAACTGGCCAACGGCTGAGGTGTTATTAACTTACTATTAGCAAATCGTGCTGACATGCCAGTGTCAGAAGATGACCCGTTTAGTGAGTCTCTTTTTCCTTCCAAAGGGTTGGTAACTTCATTTTTTTGAAACTAATAAAATAAAATAATCCTTCCAAAGACGATCGGTTGTACATTTTCATGGACCCACGGAACAATCCATCGTTTCTCCTCTCTTCTTTCTTTTCTCATTTTTAGGGTTTTACCTTTTTATATAAAAATAACTACATATAATATTTTGATTCCTTTACCCCTATTAGGCAATGATTAGCCACAGCCAGAAGGGATGAACCTGGTTAAAGTTCCACAGTGTTTTTAAAAAAGTATTATCTATAATTAGCTTTTTCGAGTGAAATTTGTCATCCTCCACTCACATTTTTTTGTTTCAAAGAAACTCTTTAGAAGAAAAAGAGGAGAATTGATGATATGACGGGTAAACCACAAAACGTAAGTCTGGTTATTGTACTTTATAAAAGTTAATCCGGAATCTTATTTTTTATTCGTTTGCATCGTAGATTTAGATTTATAACATTTTTTTATCGTTATGTTGAACTAAGCAAATTTAAGTTTCATTAGTACTTTATGTTTAGTGTGAAGAGTGAAGACATAGAAATGCACATGGAGTGTTTAGGTTAGTAAATGCATAAAAAAATGTTGATCAGGATTATGCCTTGGATTTATTTAGGCAAACGTCTTTCGGCATCTCTAACACCTAATTGGATTTCGCCACGTCTCCATCTTCCCTCGCATTTAATTTATTGGATAAATACCGATTATTAATCTGAAGTTGATTGTATATGTTTTGTTTCTGATTTGGCTCCAGCAATACAAATTTACACTACCAGTGAAAGTTATATTCTATGATATTACTCATTTGTAAGTAGATCGATGAGACGAGCTATAAACTTTATAGATCTAAGTATATGCTGACTTCTAAAATTCATTATTTTTAATTTTAGGTATTGTAAATAGAGACGCTCAAATCCAAATTTGGTGAAACTTTAAACTTTCATTCTGGTTGGTATAACTAAGCACTGTCGGCAAAATATATGTATATTCTAATTACAATGCCAAAACTGGAAATGGTATTGGAAAGATAAATCTGTGGGTTTAGTATATACTAGTAAAATCAAGAGAGTATTTTTTTTTTAACTGAAAATCAAGAGAGTTTTGGATAGATAATTCTGTGTAACACTAGATTTGGTTACCTCGTGGGTTGTAGAGTGGAAACAAAAGAGGCAAAAGCTACTATAATAATTTATAACATAAAAAATAAGTAAAATAAAAAAGCAAAGGACACAGCCTTGCATTGCAATTATGTGATGATAATTTATCATATAGGACTGGTTTTGGTAGAAATTTGTTATGGGTGAAGGAATAATTAAGTAGGCAGTGACGTACGTACGTATGCGATTTTCGAATAACATAGATATTGATTGTTTATGACTTTGAAAACTTTGATTGTTTTTAAAAGTTGGCTGTTCAATAATAATTGTGAGCTTTGGACATATGAAAAACCTTATATTGTGGCTTTAGAAAAACAACTAATGTTAAGTGCAATTTGCAAAATCAGTTCCCTATGGCTTTGAGATTTTTAAAGGAAACTTTTAAGGCTTTAGATAGACTAAAGCTTGATTGTGGAAAAAATAGACTTTAAGAACTTTAGGATTAAGTCAAAACCTCTAAATAAAGTCAAACCCCAATCAGAGTTTAATCTTGATCTGACTCTATTAAGCATTAATAATTTGACAATACTTGTAAAATATTTATATTAAATAAAGTTAAAATATGAAGATATTCTTTGATCAATGATTTTAAATCCAATCTAGATCCGTGGCCGAACCGACAAATTTTGTAACATTATATATAATTCGTTTTGAGTTTTAAGAAAAAATGTTACTCAAATATCCAAAAATAGTAAAAATGTGGATTTTTGTTACCGATTGAATCAGTGGATGATCAAATATGTAGTTTGATTTGATTTAAATTATCATTTTAGAGTATTTAAATATATGTTTATGAATGTTTCAATGAATTATAGAGATATTTTGAATAGGATGCTCTAGTTTTACAAATGTTAGTTATATGAATTATGTTGCGCTAGGAACCAACCGTCCTTTGTCGTTCACATGGATGAAGAGCTGTCGGAGTGGTTCTCAGAACCGATATGAGTGTTTTTGTTTATTGATGCCAAAAAAAAAAAAAAAATGAATTATCAGTTAAGCTGCTTCTTTATATGATTGTAAACGGAGCTGATCAATATTTGATAAAATTCATACTAAGAAGAGAAATATGCTTAAGAGCATCAACAATAAATGATTTTGTATATGTTCACTACAGTTTAGGTACTCCCTCCGTTTCATTATAAGTGTCACTCTACAGCTGTGCACACGGATTAAGGAAACAATTAATTTTACATATTTCTTATATAAAAACACAATTACCCATACACCTAACCATATTTTAACCAATAGAAAAACAAATTACATAATAAAATTAATAAATTTTGCATTGAAAATCGAAAACGACATTTATTTTGTAACGCAAAAAATTATCTACAACGACACTTAATATAAAACGGAGGGAGTATAGTTTATTTGAAATTTAATATTAATTTTATCATTCACATCAAACATTAAGATACTTATTAATTTATCATTCTCTACGTCCTAACTGCGCAGCATGCATATTAAATACCCTTTGGTTTATGAATGATAAAAACACGATTAACCGATTCGAAAGATTCGAATATAGACACGCTTTAACTTCACAACTAGATATAGTGACGAGTTCCAAGAAATCCTTATACTAGTAAGAGAGTGCATAAAAAACTATGCATGTAGAGTGTAGTCATCTTTCCAACTTCGCATCATCAACTGAAATAATTGCTCGAATTGATTATTATGCTAATATTGAGTATATGTTTGATTGTTGTTGGATCAGAAAGTCCTCAAATCGTCGTTGTGGACGAAATATGTGTGAATGTATCTTCAATGATTAGTACTGTGGAATTCAATGTCACCACCGAGATATCACATGAATCACAAGTAGTAGCTGAATCGTAGGTATTGTATATAATCACAATAACATTCATTGTCAAACCATTTATAATAACAAAGAGAAGTACATATTTAAAAATCAGATGTAATATGGACGTATATGGCTAAGTTTTCCAACCACTTAAATCAAACAACTGCTAAGTATAATCATTGTATGAGAGTATCTGCAGTGGTCGAGATCATTCATTATTATTGAGAATAAAAGGTTTGTTAACTAAAGGTTTTCATCTTGGAGTTGGATGATCTTTCTGTTTTTGTAAAGACAAAAGTCAAAGTTCTATAGAGGAAATCTCAGTTAGGACTCCCAAGTCCTAACCAACCATCGTGTTAAACACTTAAACCATAAGTGATTCGTAAGACAAATCGTTAATTCTCCGGCTTTGCACGATGGTTCCTTAGAGTTATATCTTTCCTTTTGGCCATTTCAATTACTACGAACGTTGCGTGGTCCCTAGTTCTCTAATCATTCATCGTACCGGTCAATGATATACAATTGGATTAATCAAGTAACCATGTGAAACGATAGATATGTCATATGTCTATGATCGGGTCGTCACTATCAAGAATCGTTCTTCTAAAGTAAGAGCTAGCTAGTGGTGGTTACATCAGATATTGAATACCAAATCAGATAAAGAAAAAACAAAGCAACTTTAACCAAATTAAATGTTGCATATTGGATGTATCGAAGATAAAAGGCTGATCTTCCATAGAATCTCCTGCTTAAGACAACAAGGTCTCAATTCTCGAGGGCCACTAACCCTACCCAATTCACTTTATACATATCAAACATGCATACGTAAAGATCTTCAAAATCATAGCGTTGAATTCGTTACCAACTGTATGGTCCAAAGGATCGTAGCCTTGTATTTGTTACCAACCGTTGTAATAAAATATCATTTATAAAGAAGATATCTTACAGAATTAAGTCCTAACATGCCTATAGAGCAAGTCACGTTGAACACGAGAGACAAATCTTTAACAAACTATAGTAGATATCATTGTCAAGCGCCATAGCTTGCATTTATATACATGCAAACATGTTGGATGTATCATGTATGACATGTTTGAACACACACAGAGAACAGATCAAAATAACACCATTGCACAAACTTCTAATCATTTGAATTTGTGGACTTTTTCACGTTGTTGCTGACTACCCTAGTCATAATAATGGGCCGATTTGGGCCAACTCGTTTAGCTTTTTAAGAGATGGTGCGATTTCAATCAGTAAATCTTTCCAGTTCTAAGTCTTATAAAAGCCCATAATATTAAAATGAACCAGGAAATGCCCAAATACCGGTTTAAATATTTAGTAACTATACCTCTAAATTCCGGTTTAAGAAGAAAACCAAAAAGTTAATCAGCTTCCAGATAAATAGCAGTTAAGATTATCCACCTTAATACACTGAATCAATGGTGCGATTTCAATCAGTAATTCGTTCCAATTCCGAGTCTTATAATAAAACCATACTATTAGTGAACCAGAAAACCCCAAATTCCGGTTTAAGGTTTTAGTAGACTCTCAAATTCCGGTTTAAATAGAAAACCAAAAAAAATTATCAGCTTCCAGATAAGTAGAAGTTAAGATTACCCACCTTAATACACTGAATCAACCTTAACAAGAGACATGACTAATACTAATGATCAATCACGCGGATCGCCACGTAAGCATCATTTCCCCTCTAATCAAATCTGAACCGTCGAATATCTTCCTAATCGGACGTCTCCCACTTCTCCTCTTTAATTAATTAATTAACCCCATCACTATAAATACTTAAAACCTTCAACACTTTTCCTCATAAACATTCTCGCGATCCTCTCTGAATCAAAAAGCTCTTCGTCTCGAGAAGAAGAAGAAACCATGGCTCGTACGAAGCAAACTGCTAGAAAATCCACCGGAGGTAAAGCTCCAAGGAAGCAACTCGCCACCAAGGTTCGTTCCTCTTCTTCTTAGATTCAATAACGAAGGAAAAAAGGGGATCTAGGGTTTCTGATTTTTGGATTAAATCTTTGAATTTAATGATTAAATTTCGCGATATAGGCGGCGAGGAAATCAGCTCCGACCACCGGAGGAGTCAAGAAGCCTCACCGTTACCGTCCCGGAACCGTCGCTCTCCGGTAAAAATTTCTCACAAAAATCTCTTCCTCCGTTAGTTAACGCCGTTAAAACTTCCGTCTCCGTTAGTTAACGGTGTTTTTTTTTTTTGGTTAATGAATTAGTGAGATTCGTAAGTATCAGAAGAGTACTGAGTTGTTAATCCGTAAGCTTCCTTTCCAGCGTCTCGTTCGTGAAATCGCTCAAGATTTCAAGGTAAAATCTTAATCAATTGCATTTATTATTATTATTGAGAGCTTAATATTATTGGAATTTGGAATTTTTGTAGACGGATTTGAGGTTCCAGAGCCACGCGGTGTTGGCGTTACAGGAAGCTGCGGAGGCTTACTTGGTTGGTTTGTTTGAAGACACGAATCTGTGTGCGATTCACGCTAAGAGAGTGACGATAATGCCTAAGGATATTCAGTTAGCTAGGCGTATTCGTGGAGAGCGTGCTTAGATGAATCTTTATCTTAGTAATGTTTTGAGAATATAATGCTTTGGTGTTATAATGTCTCTCTTTGAAGTTTTAAGGACATATGGTTTATTGATGTTATGAACAAACCGTTTGTTAACTCTTGTTTCTCTCTATTATGTTGAGTTTAATTGTGTGAATTCATAATCACTCCTCGTTAGTTTATTATTATGATCAGTTTTTAGAATCCTCATTAGTATGAGTCATAATGGGGAGGGAGCGTGTGTGTGTGTGTGTGAATTTTAGTGCAGACTAATCAGGAAGCTTGAACTTGATTGACACACACACGCATGCTTGTAATGAAGGGAGGGTGCGTACTACTACAAGTTCTGTTCTTAGTTAACGTGTTGGCAAAATTAAATTATACTATTGGTCTTCTTACTACAACCGGTAATTAGGAAAGGAAAGTCGATTCATGGTAAAAACTTTGATAGCTTGATTACATGTTTTGGGCCTCGGGTAATGACTCATTGGTTTGTGTGGTTTTACGTTTAAGCCCATATTAGTCTTCTGTTTAAGCCCATATTGCTCTTAGTCTACTTTTTTCTTGGGTCAAAATTACTCTTAGTCTACTAAAAGAAAAAAAAAAAAGAGAACACTAGATATTTATTGAGTGAATTTGGTAGAAACCCAAAACAAAGAATAAAATTAGGAAAATGTTTTTGATGTGACAGGTTGGTGTCTATGAACAAATAGTATACTAGATTCTTGCAAATAGTCAATCATCATCATCGTTTCTATTTATCACTAATAAGTTTTTCATGTTGTAAGTTCCATTTCGTTATAATTTGTCAGAAACATATCAGCTTATATTAATTAGTTTTTCCAACTTCTTTGCTTTTCTCTTATCTCTATTGTTTGTCATGGTACTCTCTTGGCGTTAATTATTTATTATTTGTCATTAAACCAAAATGATTTTAAACAAAAGTATATAAAAGTTTTATGGTAGGAGTACTGGCGGTGGTCCAAGTTATTTATTATTAGTCTTTTTGGACTGTCTCTCAATTATAGAATCTTCCATCTAAAAACTACGTCCTGCTTGTTCATAATATGTTTAGCATATCTCTCTTGCACACGACATCGAAGTTCCATTTGTTCTAATGTAAATAACAAAACTTAAGAGATTCGTGTCCCGTTAATCATGCAACTTGCAGGTAGCAATAACGTATCAAACATAAAACATTACCAATTCAGGGACGAAAGAATCTGATTCCTTTATATAATTGTATCCAAACAACAGTCTTATTACATACAACTCCGTGAATAAATTTTGATCACTCAAATAAAAAAGATATTCAACAGACTTTTTAAAAAAATAAAAAATTACCACACGTAGAACAAACTATATAACATTGACAATCACATTTCACTGCAACCTTACCCAAACACCTTCACTAGGTATATCTTGGTTCACAACAAAAGCCATGTAATAACCAGGTGGTGCAAGGTTCTTAGACTTTGGTGCATTAACCCTAACCTCATAACTCCAAACTCCTATCCTCATTAACTCAACATGATCAAGAACCAAAAGCCTCTGACTCATCGAGAAGGAATGAGAAGTAAAAGAAGGAAACACCATCGTCACCTTAACCGGACTTTGCACTCCTCCTATACCAAATACCATAAACCTCAGGCTCAAGACTCCACCGTAGTTAACCGTAGACTGTGATGATGGACTCATCATAATCCTCGGACGTATACTCCAGTATTGAGACTCTAAATACGACGGAGAGAAAGCTTCTAACCTCAGCTCCGTCGGGAAAATCACGTCGGTGAAATTATAAAACTGATGTGGGTTGCTTCCTCCAACGAGAACTCTCCCGTCACGAAGTAAACTTGCGGTTGAATGGTACATTCTTGGTATAGTACTAGGGTTTTGTACCTGAAATCTTGAACCGATCGGTTTATCAGGATGATAAACATCAGGGTTTAAAACCGGTTCACGACCTAGCTCCCAACCAGCTGAGCCTGATGAACCACCGTTAATTAACAGAACATGTCCGTTAGGTAAAAGAATCATATCTCCCATTACTCTCGACCTAGGCATCTTCTCAAGAACCCATTTGGGATCATCATCATTGATCCTGATTCTTGCACACGTGTCAAGAGCCTTGACAAATGTGTCTTTATATAAAGCTAAGAGGTACGATCCTTTCGGTGCACCGCCGCACACAAGAACCTCAAGCTCGATGACTTCTTCTTCAAGATTCTTGATAGGGAGAAGAACAGCTGAACCAGTGCTCGGATAGCTTCTAGGATCTCCTCCAGGGATCTTCGGATATGTTTTCACAACAATATTCTTATCATAGTCTAGCAAAATGGCTTTGTTGTTAGCGAAAATGAATAAGTTTCCATCGCTGTTGAGAAAAACAAAAGGGTAGAGATTGTTTTCTTGTCCAACATCGTGTGTTTCGGACAAGAACGGTAAGTTGTATAGACTTGGAGCTTTTGTCTTGGGGAAGAACTCGTAGTTGAACTGGTTTCGACCACCTACTATTATCTGACGACCATCAGGAAGTACATGGTTCGTAGCGTACCATCTTCTAACATTAAGTGCGTTATCAACTTCTGTCCAATCACAAAAATCATCACCATCGTCGCAAGGATAGAACATTCTAGCTTTACGTTCTCCTTCTTTGTCTCCTCCTGTTTGGAGGAGAGCTCCCTCAGGAGTGACGCCTCCTGAGGAGCACCATGTGTTGGATAGGATGGTTAAAGGACGTATACGGTTTAAAGCGACGTCGTATTCTATCGAATGCGCGGTGCAGTCATGTTTGGAAACGACGTCGTTTGGGCTGTCGCGGCATGCTCCATTAGGGAGAGAGATTTTTGAAGGACCGAAGTTGGAACGGTCGTACATTATGACACGGTCGTTATTGAGGAGTTGTGAGTGCATTGCTGAGATTCCGACGTTGTTTAAGAGAAGCTCCCATGTTCCTCCGGCGCCGGATGCCACGTGGAAGGAGAGGAGGTGGAGGAAGAGAGCGAAGTAGAGGATTTGAGGTTTGGCTTCTGCAGCCATTTTTTTTTGTTTTGGTTGTACTATTGAGTTTATGTCACGGGTGGTTGGCTTTTTATATATTTTTTTGTAGCTTGTGTGGTATTATTTAATGTCATGGAAGAAAAAAATCAATATAAATGTCATGACGTTATTAAACATACCTCCCTCCATTATTCCAAATAGTTATGGCAAATTTAGTCAAAAATAATTACTATGACACGCTTTTGTTTTCCTTTTGGAAGATTGAAACCTTAACAAACTTGAATTTTGGATGAGATTAAGAGCTGAAATTCTGGCATACAGTTGAATTTTTGTATTACAAATTTCGGTGTTCTTTCAAAATTAAGCTTAGTTGACTAGCATTAATAAAAACGTGTTTAACTTAACCTATGTCAAATCTTCATCTGAATGAATACAACCGTGTTAGAAAAACCTGAGAACAATATTAAAATTAATATGATAGGATTTGTGTATAAAATAGAAAATATTATTCTCTTAAATAGTACATAAGTATATATATGTGTGGTTATATGTATGTTGTTTACACTATGTTTTTTTCTAAAAATAATATGTCGAAACATGTCCCAAATATTAAGTCACTAGACCTTAAGTATATATCATGTCAGTAAACTATATAAATCTCAAATGAGTGTATTTATTTATATTAACCATGCTATTTTTGGTGTCACTTTCAGTCATTGATTTTAAAATATGTTGTAGAATTAGAATAGTTGGGTTTGCACGATACCGGGTTATCCCAAAGTTGTAAAAAGGTTTCTTCTGTTATTTAAACTTCATGCTACAAAGCCACATAAAATTCCACATCAAAAGCAACAATTCCAAAGAGAATATATATAACTTTGCCATTTAAATGAGATGATCGCATTCACATCGCGTAAGTCTTAGCATATATGATATGAATTGATTCCACACATTGATCTCAAGGAAAACAACTACATCATCATAATTCTTGGTATCTAGGGTCCATACCATCTTAATCAAATCAAATTAAATTATAATTATAAAGCCAACCTGCTATGCACCGTTACGTAATGTTTATTGTCGTCGAAGGAACAATATGTGTTGTTGGTTATGACTTATGTTGATCAATGGAGTGGTGAACATACTAGAAGGTCTTAAGTTCAATTATCTCACAAATCCGTTGTAGTCTAGCTGGTCAGGATACTCGGCTCTCACCCGAGAGACCCGGGTTCGAGTCCCGGCAACGGAGATTTTTTTTTTCCTTATTGGGCTTCCAAATAATTTTTTTTACCCAATACAAAAGCCCAAACCAATATGTCGTTTTTAAAATCACATGCTGTTTTGTCTGAAGCCCAAACCAATATGTCGTTTCTAACATCACATGCTGTTCTGTCTGAAGCCCAACCTAATTTAATTTTATCCGAATATCCGATTCCAAAAAAAGAAAACAGTTAAACACGGCTCTTCTTCTGACCTTACCCGCCGCCGGCAAAAAACAACCGTCGATTTGAGTAAAATCACTCTCTCTCGACGTGCTTAGGTCTCTGAGTTTTTTTTTTGTTGAAGAATGGGAGTACCGGCGTTTTACCGGTGGTTAGCGGAGAAGTATCCGTTGATAGTCTCTGACGTTGTGGAGGAAGAAGCTGTTGAAATCGAGGGAATCAAGATCCCGGTGGACACTAGTAAACCTAACCCTAACGATCTCGAATACGATAATCTTTACCTTGACATGAACGGTATCATTCATCCTTGCTTCCACCCTGAAGACAGGGTAACGTTTCTGTTTTTTCGATTTAACTTAGAACGACATTATAATGTTTATAAATTTTGATTCTGTTCTTAGTGCTCGTTGTAGAATATAGTGTTTGTGTGATTGTTACATATTATAAAGGAAAAACTTTATATTAAGTTTTCAATTTTCATTTTGTTCTTAGTCGTAAGGTTGTGCTCGTAGTAGAATATGGTCTTTGGTGATTGTTATAGATTATAAAGTTGAAAACTTTATATAGAGAAATTATAATTTTTAAGCTTTGATTCTGCTTCACTGATTAAACGGTTCTTAGTTGGAAGGTTATGCTCGTCGTAGTGTATGGTGTTTGTGTGATGATTTTGTCTTTCTTAGCTTAATAATGATTGTGTTTTTGGTTGCAGCCATCTCCGACTACCTTTGAGGAGGTGTTTCAGTGTATGTTTGACTATATCGATAGGCTTTTTGTGATGGTAAGGCCGAGGAAGCTACTCTATATGGCTATTGGTAAGTGAGGACGAATTTTTTTTTCTCCCTATTAACATAAATTTAGTAGATTTCTTTTACGTTGAAGTTTTGATTATGATGTATTTTTTTTCAATTTGGGGTGTTAGATGGTGTTGCTCCAAGAGCTAAAATGAACCAACAACGATCTAGACGGTTTAGATCCGCTAAAGATGCATCCGATGCTGTATGTTTCTCATGTCTTTTGATGCTCTTGATTAGTTTGTTTGCGTGTTTTGTTTTTTGTTCATCTGTTGACATTGTTGAGCTTACAGGCTGCTGAAGAAGAAAAGCTGAGAGAGGAGTTTGAGAGGGAGGGTAGAAAACTCCCTCCTAAAATTGACTCTCAAGTGTTTGATTCCAACGTTATCACACCTGGAACAGAGTTTATGGGTGTTTTGTCTATCGCTCTGCAATATTATGTGCACCTTAGACTTAACCATGATGTTGGTTGGAAAAATGTCAAGGTAGTTATTCTATGACTTCACACGGTTATGCACATTCATGTATTCGATTGATTTTGTGACTAAATTTTTGCTCTTACTTGGAAAGGTTATCCTTTCAGACGCAAATGTTCCAGGTGAAGGGGAGCATAAAATCATGTCATACATTCGTCTACAAAGAAACCTTCCTGGTTTTGACCCAAACACTCGCCACTGCTTGTATGGATTGGTATGAGTCTATAATGAAGCACGATTCTTAAGTCTTATTGCATGTTCATTTTCTCACTTTGACATTCTTTCATTGACAGGACGCTGATCTTATTATGTTGGGCCTGGCAACTCACGAAGTTCATTTTTCAATTCTTAGAGAGGTTTTTTTTTCATACACTCTTCCCTCATGTTTTTGTGTACTCTTCAATTTGTATTATCTTATTAAGTGACCTAAAATGTTGTCCCATGATTTTAGGTGGTTTTCACTCCTGGACAGCAGGACAAATGCTTCCTGTGTGGTCAGATGGGCCATATGGCTGCAGATTGTGAAGGAAAAGCAAAGAAGAGGGCAGGAGAATTTGATGAGAAAGGCGATGGTTTTGTTAAAAAGCCATATCAGGTTGAATTTCAAGACTGAGCTCGTCATTACAGTATTTATGTGTGATAATATTGTCAGTTCTCATGTCTCTGTTTCCTTTTTGGCAGTTCCTTCATATATGGATTCTTAGAGAATATCTGGAGTTTGAAATGAGGATTCCAAACCCACCATTCGAGATTGATCTGGAGCGCATTGTTGATGATTTCATCTTCATTTGTTTCTTTGTTGGCAACGATTTCTTGCCACATATGCCAACACTGGAGATTCGAGAGGTTTGTGTTGTATAGATTTGAGTTTAATAATGTCTGACATATCCTTGTTAGCATTATAAAACATTACGTAATGAAATATATTTCTTGATATCTACAGGGTGCTATCAACTTGCTTATGGCTGTTTACAAAAAGGAATTTAGGGCACTAGACGGCTATCTAACTGATGGATGCAAGGTGCTTGATCTTACACTAGCTAGCAGAATTACTCAGATCCATGTTCTTCCTTAGGTGATATGGTTTTGACTTTAACTTTTGCTTTTATCCTCTCCAGCCAAATTTAAGGAGGGTGGAACAGTTTATTCAAGCTATTGGATCATTCGAAGATAAGATATTTCAGAAAAGGACCAGGTTACATCAGGTACATCACTTCAACAACACATGCTTATAACAGTTCTTTAGGTAGTGATGTATTATTGATGAATTTGTTTACTGTGGTTTATATCAGAGACAAGCTGAAAGAATAAAGGGAGATAAAGCTAGGAAAAGAAGGATGGATGATGCTGCTCCGACGTTTGAACCAGAGTCTCTTGTTCCGGTTGAAAGATTTAGTGGTTCTCGACTTGCCTCAGCTCCTGCACCTTCACCCTTTCTGTCTAGTGATGGAGGGTCTGCTCCGAATCAAAAAGCTAGACGTCTATCTTCAGGATCCAGTATTGGTGCCGCTATTGTCGACGTTGAGAACAGTCTTGAACCTAACGTATGCGCATTCCTGTCTTTTGAGTGGCAATTTTTAATGTGATTTTAACTCATTTTGTCTTTGGAGTTTAGAAAATTGAATCGAAAATGTCTGCTTGTTACAGGAAAACGAGAACAAGGAAGAGCTAAAGACAAAGCTCAAGGAGTTAATCCGTGAGAAATCAGATGCTTTCAACTCGGATACTCATGAAGAGGATAAGGTTCGTCCTAAGTGAAGATAGGTGAAGCTTTCAATCTTTGGATCTACCTTCATTTCTGAAAAAGCTTTTCTGTTTACATAGGTGAAGCTTGGGGAACCTGGATGGAGAGAAAGATATTATGAAGAGAAGTTTTCAGTTACAAACCTTGAAGAGATGGAAAGACTACGAAAGGATGTTGTGAGTTTTGAGAACCATATATATATTTCAAGTTTTGGTACTTTCATCTGGAGAGGCTCTTAAGTTATAATATGTGGGTTTGTGCAGGTTTTGAAGTACACAGAAGGCCTTTGTTGGGTCATGCATTACTACATGGAAGGTGTTTGCTCTTGGCAGTGGTGAGCTCTTTGGACTAGATTCTATATTTGTTGTTTTTATTATATACTCTTCATTGACTGTGGTGATCTTATATGTAGTGATACATCTGTACTTTGATGTTACAGGTTTTATCCTTACCACTATGCACCATTTGCGTCTGATCTCAAAGATCTCGGAGAGCTGGATATTAAGTTTGAGTTAGGAACTCCATTTAAGCCTTTCAATCAACTTCTTGGGGTGTTCCCAGCTGCAAGGTTGTGAAACAATGCTCTTCATTTCTTTCTTTCTTTACATTCTTGTTTTCTTTATCTGTAACTATTACTTCATTTTGCAGTTCGCATGCTCTTCCTGAGCGCTACAGGACTTTGATGACAGATCCCAACTCTCCCATCATTGATTTTTACCCAACTGGTACTGCTTTGTTTCCTCAAAATGATTCACTCAGTGTCACTGGTGGAAAAATTTATATAGGTATATCTCTTTCTATTCTTCTATCCAGATTTTGAAGTTGACATGAATGGGAAGCGTTTTTCCTGGCAGGTAGTCTCTCTGTCCTTAATCCTCATTGAAACACTATCACTAAATAAATTTTGAGCCTATTTAACTTTTCTTTTTTCTCAAAGGGTATTGCTAAGCTGCCTTTCATTGATGAAAGACGCCTTCTAGAGGCTGTTTCCGAAGTGGAGTTCACATTGACGGTATGTTGCCAACACCTCACTCCATATCTTATGATGATTGCCTTCAGATCAAGACTTGTGTGGTTTCTTTTTCAATTTTTAGGATGAAGAGAAGCGTAGAAACAGCAGGATGTGTGACATGCTTTTCATAGCAACGTCTCATCGCCTTGCTGAATTAATCTTTTCTCTTGACAACCATTGTCGGCAACTGAGTGCTAGGGAGAGAATAGACTTTAAGGTTCAGATCAAACCTGAGCTCAGGTTTGTAAATCAAATGAAACATAACTTTCTTAAAAAAAATTCCTATCTGTTTCCTAATGTTGTTAGAGCTAGTTGCAGTGATGGTATGAACGGCTACTTGACTCCTTGTTCAGGAGAGACTCACCCACCTGTGTTCAGGTCCCCAATGGAGGGTATGGAGGACATCTTGGCCAACCAAGTCATGTAAGATTATTACAGACCTAGTTTTCCAAAATATTATTTGATAAAAAACATTGGTAACTGATTTAATTTTGTTTGCTTCTCTCAGTTGTTGCATTTACAGACTTCCTGATGCACATAGTCACATAACCAGACCTCCTCCTGGTGTCATCTTCCCTAAGAAGGTACATTCATGATACCACAATGTCTTGTCTACTTATGTCATCAGGTAGCTTTAAGTTGATTTGTTTTCTCTTCTTGTCTTACAGATTGTGAACATAGGTGACTTGAAACCACCACCTGCTCTTTGGCATGAGGACAATGGAAGGAGACCGATGAATAATAATAATTATAATAATAATAACAATCATTATAATAATAACCAAGGAAGGTAATAGAATCATTGAATCAAGCTCTAGTTTTGTATTGTTGAATTAGTTATTAATATTTTCTTGTAAATTCTTGAAGGCAAAACCCACCAGGAAGTTTATCTGGAAGGCATCTAGGAGACGCAGCACATCGTCTTGTCACCAACAGCTTGCATAACAGAACAGGAGATGCACATGCTCACCATCATCATGGTCACGGCTACAATCAACCACCTTATGTTCCACCAGGTCCTTACCAATATGGTGGTGGCTATAATGCTCCACATGGCGTGCAAGACTATGCTCCACCACAGTCAAGACAACCTCCTTATCAAAGCCGAGGTGGGTACCAACCTCGTGGAACCAGTGGGAGGTTCCCATCAGATCCTTACCCAGTCCAGTCACGAGGAGGTCACCAGACTCACCACCGTGACAACAGAGGAAGAGGAGGGTATACTGGTGGTTACAATCAACATCAACAACAACAACAACATTGGGATGGTCAAGGTGGAGAGGAGCATTATAACCCACGAGGGTATGGTGGTCAGCATCGAGGTGGTGACCGCAACCGTAGAGGAGGAGGTCATCATCATGATCATGGCCCTAGACATCGATACTAAGCGGTATGAATCATCAAGTGTAGTTGTTTGTATCATTAGAGTTGAGCCTGCTCTTGGTTCTTTGGTTCTTTGGTTCAGGATTAAGAGCAGCTGTGAGAAAATTATAGGTGGATTACATTAGTTTTGTTGCAACGATTTTTCATTTAATAATTGGTGTATCATTTATTTAGCTTTGGTTTTGTATTCCTGATTATACCTTGTTCCTGAAGAATTGTTTTATTCGGTTTATCTTTAAACTATGCTTAATGGATTTTAATGATTTGATTTCAGAGTTCATTGTAGTTTTTTTTGATAACATTGCTGATAATTAGTACTCATGAAAACGATTTAATAACACAAACTAAATTAGTTTTGGAAAACCTGAGACTTGCAATTGCAACCTTAATTGAATAACACTTAACAAAATTTGAAGTATGAATTACAAACATCCAATAGCCCAAGATTTTAGTTCCATTTAAGAACAAAAAAAAAGATCAAATCAAAAATACATCATTGAGTGCATAACTGCAAGAAGCATCAAAATCTCTTTTCTTCAATTTAACCTTCTGCTGATCTAATATGTTTCTTCAACTTTAGGTATTTTAAGCTTTCCTCAGGCTATTTTCCTTCGTTTACGATCCTCTCTGAAGAAAACAAAAAGAGGTTTCTTATCAAAGATGAGGATCCGAGAGTTGAATAAAGAAGAGTGTACAAAAAATCAGACTAACCTATCCATATGCGAAACTTCTTCAGACTGCTTTTCCAGCCACTTAACACATCCTGTGTTAGCCGGAATTAGAGATCCAGCTATATGCATCACCTCTTCATCAAAACTAAACACAAAGTTTGAAGACAAGTAGTCAAAAAAATTGAGTTAACAGATGGCTAAATACTATCTGTGTAATAGGCAAGAGAAGCTAAGAGAGAGTTAGTTACCTTTCGACTTGAAGACGTAACATGGTTCCAACCTTTAGTACATGCCGTTTATGGGACATGCTCACAAAGGAACCTTCACCATTTCTCTGAATATAACAATGGATTAAGTCAAAACTTCTAGTACAATGCCGTTTAAACTATAATTCAAGACACTATATGAGTCATACAAAAAATACCATTTTGTACTTGAATTCTTCACGAATATCAAGATCCGTTACGACAGCAGCAGAGAAACCAAGAACAATGACATGGATCGACTCTGGAGATATCTTAACAATTTCCCCTTCTGCAAAAACAGTAGAGATCATCAATCTCAAAAGAAGAAAGTCAATCAAAAGTGTACAATGAGATCTTTCTCTTTTCTTACCAACAAGACTATTAGGCTTTGGATTAAACAGCACAAGTTTTGCATCTACTTTGACACCAAAGTAAGGACTGAGTCCTGCAAGGATCTTAGCTGCTTTGCTTTTCACAGTAACATCAAAAGCCAATAAAACCCCGTCAAATGTTTCATCATACCTTCAAAACAAAAAACAAAGATCAAAAACACATCACTACAACAAAGTTCTGCATCACACAAAAACAGAACCAAGCTTATATCTACCAACATTTATATAACTTCTTGAAACATCATCACAACCCATAAATCAAAATTTTGATTTAGCTCATAAAGCTTAAAACTTTAGGTTAACCCATAAGTTAAGTATCCAAACCCATAAATCAAAAAAATTGATATAATTTCATAAAGGATGAAACTTTAGATTAACCCATAAGTTAAATATCACAACCCATAAATCAAAATTTTGATTTAGCTCATAAAGGATGAAACTTTAGATTAACCCATAAGTTTAAGTAGCAACCCATAAATCAAAATTTTGATTTAGCTCATAAAGGATGAAACTTTAGATTAACCCATAAGTTAAGTATCACAACCCATGAATCAAAAATTGATCTAATTTCATAAAGGATGAGACTTTAGGTTAACCCATGAGTTAAAAATCGAAACTTTTGGAAGAGAAGAAAGGAACGAACTGGAAGAGAAGAGAGCTGAGCTCGCGACATATAGCTTTGAGCTTGTTTCCACTCTTTGAAGGATGAATATAAACCATCAACTCCGCGTTTGAGAGCTTTAACCCTTCCATTGAAGATCTAATTTCTGTTGATTCGAAAGTAATCCTGAGCAGAGCAAAAAAAGATAAATTGAAGAAGACGATGATGATGCCGTCGTCGTGTAAAAGAGATTAGGGTTTTAAAGTAAAGACACCACATGACAGACCAAAGGGTTTAAGTTCAAAACCCAAAAAGCCGGTTCGTTGATTTTAACCGAATTTAAACCGGTCATTAACAGTTTTGTTATTTTTAAACTAACCGGACCGGCTCATATCGTTTGCAATTTTTAGAGCATTGTGTTGTTACAAAAAAATTGCACTAATTAATAGTTTCGTTATTTTAAAAATGACCTAGAAAACACTAAAATATTACTACAACATTAGCACATAATAAAAATGATTCAATTACAGCTAATTAAAAAGTAAAAAACTTGTGTTTAAAAAAAAAGAGTAAAAAATAACTTAATTACTTCGAATCCTAAACCATTATCATAGCCCTATCCTTAAATACTAAACCTTCGATCTTAGTCATTTAACCCATATTCAAATATAAAATTAAAATGTATATTAATTTTTAATTAATGTTATTTTGATAATTTTTCTATTTATATGTACTAGTTTAGAAACAATAAAATGTTTGTGCTATTTTTAGGTATTTCTGTTTTGTTTTCCTGAAAATTTTCATCAACACTCATCAACATATCACACGCAATACACAACGTGAATACACACACATACGTAAGACAAAAATAAATGAAGCAATGTGAGATTTTAACAAAGGGTAGGCTCTTAATAATACAAAAAGTCTCACTTCAATGACTGTAGAGCAGAAGAGGTAGTAACAAGACTAGACATGAGACCAACGAGTAAGGCATTGTTATAAGTAGTTGGCTCGTTCTGCCTCACATTGTCTCTTGCGTCAAGGAACGTCTCGTTTAAGAAAGGTCCACCCACTAGTGCACCAAATGCTATATTTGGGTTTGGTTTAGTCGAGTTAAAATACTCAAACCCATCTAAGCATCCTGTTGTTGCATCTGCAGGTATCGAAGCGCCTCTATGATGGATATACTTTGGATACTTGTCTCCATAACCAACCACAAAGCTCATTCCCATTGGATTCTTCCCCAAAATGTAATCAGCCTTACAAACAAAAAAACCATATCCAGTATAACCTCTTTAAATTAATATTATATAAATTAATATACACTAAAAATCTCTATAAAATAATATAATTTTATATCTCCGAATTGAGTTTTTGGTTTAGTTAATATATCGATAAATTAATAAAAAAATATAGTTTTGGTATAGTCCCAACATTATTAATTTATAGAGGTTTTATTGTAGTAAGACTTCTCTTCTTTTGTTACCTATAGATTGTTATGTTGTTGTTATTACCTGTGATTTGGCGAAGTCTCTAAGCTCTGTTGCTTTAAAGATCTTCCCGTTGCAAGATATTTTATGGAGACGGGAAGTGAGCATGTAATCACTGAACAGTGAGGCTAAGAAAGCTGCAGAAACTGATTGTTGCAGCGCGTTCCACTCACTGACCAATACAAGACCACCTATTGATGCAAACATTGTAAGAAACTGAGTCTCTCTCTTTATGTTGATATGAAGTAAACAAAAGTGAGAGCTTACCGCTTGATCTACTAGTTGTAGCTGTTGGAGATTTTGGTAAGAGACCACACATGACTGCTTTAGCTGTATCCCTGTAACTAGCAAGTCCCTTGTTTCCAGACAAATCTTTCTTAAAGAAGAGTAGCCTTGATAACAGCACCTGTGTTCCTGCACGCTTGTCGTCCCAACTGAACCAAGATGGCTTACCAAAACTAGCAAACTCATTTCCATTCTTAGTAACATAGTCAAGGTAAGTTTTGTCCTCTGTTGCGTGGTATAACCAGCTAGCTGCCCACAGAAGCTCGTCACCATACCCTGTGGAATTGTAATAGTCTTGAATCTCTGGTATGTTGACACTGTAAGAGCCTCTCTTAGTGTCTGCAAAATCAAACAACTGCTTTGCGTGTTTCAGAAGAGTAGCTGAGTACTGAGGATCGCTGTCCTTGAAGACTAAAGACGCTGAAGCCATGGCTGCAGAAGTTTCAGCAGCAACCTCAGTCCCTGGAGTGTCTGCATCGATTTTGATAAGTGGTCTCTTCCCTTTCATTGTCTCTGGTCTCTCCCAACATGGATGATCTATCTTTGGATCTCCCACCTACATCAAAATACAAATCATCAACAACAGTACTACACCATCTATTACTAGTAGCTAGTATGCAATGCCCACACCTGAATGTAGAGAACATTATCAGAAGGATGAGCTTTGATGAAGTAATCAGTGGTCCATCTAAGTGATGCTTTAGCAGGATCCAATTGGTTCACTACATCCATCTGATCACCATACTCAAGAATGGACCATGACAAGACGGTAGCAGTGAAAGCCATAGGGAAACCAAACTTGATATGATCTCCAGCATCATACAATCCTTTGGAAAGATCAAGACTCGCTTCACTCCCATCTTTTAGACCTGAATCTCCTCTCCAAGATATCTTATTATCCACCAACCTACCAGCTGAATCAACCAAACATGAGAATATCATTAGTTTCCCAAAAAGGAAATAAAATCACAAGAAAAATAATCAGATCCTTGCTATGTAAGACTGAATTAGAAACTTAAATTATGTAGCTTATAAAACGTAGCAAAGAGATTTACGGTGAAACCTCTATAAATTAATAATGTTGGGACTACACCAAAATTTTAGTTTTTATTAATTTAGAGAGATATTAATTTACCGATATACTAATCGAACCAAAAAATCAATTTAGAACTATAAAATTATATTATTTTATAGAAATATTTAGTGTATATTAATTTATCGAGTATTAATTTATAGATGTTCTACTGTATATATCAAACATTAAACTTAAATTCAATGTTCAAGAAATCGCTAAGCCGTAACTAGACATTTTATAGAAGACTAGCAACTAGATGAATTTTTCAGAGATATACAAAACAAAAGAAAATTAGAAATTTTTTTGGATTTATATTAGTATTATTGTTTAATTTAACAGATTCAGACTAATTTTAAACTAAAAATAAAAACAGATTTAGAATGATTTAAACCAATTTGAATAGTATAAAACAAAATTTAGGAAAATAATTTTGTTTAAAGACTGATTTGCTGAGCTGATTTTTAGAATCATGATTAAACTGAATTAGAAACTTCAAATCTACCTACTGCATCATAAACATTATATTGTTCAGCAAAATCTACCAGCTGAATCAAACATGCACCAATCATTACTTTCCCAAAACGGAAAGAACAATCACAAGAAAAAATAATCAGAATTAGAAACTCTTTAAAATCTGTAAATTAAAAAGAAAAAGATGTGTGTTTACATTTCTGGATATCTAGGAACTGTAAGGAGAGTTTGAGAGCGTCTGCGTATTTCTTATCAATAGCACCGGGAGGTCCAGGTACAGGACCAGCTCCATCACCGTCATCAGATTTCTTCATTTTGGATTTAACCATGTAGACAACGGCGAAGATAACGGCAGCTAATACAATGAGAGCTATGAACCAACCGCACCATCCTCTTGACTTTGATTTCTCCTCCCCCATTGTTATGTGTCGGTGGAGTTAAAAAGATACGGTGGTTTAGATCTGTGGATCAATGCAGATGCTGAGATCTGAGAATCTTGAGGAAGGAGAGTGATAGGGGGTGATGAATTCAAAGGGAAGAGAATCAGTGAGACTAGTTACCAGCTTTGAACCAAGTGGTTAAGTTAAAAAAAGTCGGTGGTGGAGTATGAAGCGGGATTTGAGATCTATTTTTCTCCTCTAATTTTACTGTAATACCCTCAAAGAAGCAGCTAAATGCCAAGTCCAACTCGTGTTTAGTGTCCACATCGACCTGTTCTGTATAACATTATTAGTCTTTTTTATTTTGTCGGCAAAGGTAATATAAAATGACATAAGATCTAATGTGTCTTAAGATCTAATCATTTTAATTACTAAAGCCATTCGTAAAGAACCACATGTTAAATGAATTTTCACCAAGTTCTCTTAGTTTTTTCATTGAGAAATTCTTAATTCCCTTTCTTTTACTTTTTTTTTTAGTTGGTGAAAAATTTTGAAAGACTAGACTCTATTCTTTCATATTTAGTCCATCTTTAATTTAATACTAAAATTATATTCTAGAGTGATTTCAACATAAAAATCTTCTCCAATCTAACATTAAATTTTACACTATTTTAATGCAATACTATAACGTCACACCGAATCTAGTGTGATACTATTCACCACATCAAAACACTATTCACCACATCAAAACACTATTCATTTATTTTATTAATAAATTATACAATTTAATAAATATAAATATAAATGCATATAATATTATAAAATATTTTTTAGTGTTAGGTTTAATGTTATGATTAGAGATGAACTTATTTTTAGTATTGAAATTACACTAAAATAATATAATTTTAACACTATTTTAGTGTTATGGATTGGAGATGCTGTTAAAGTTTTTACAAGTTTCAATGTTGGCTTTTCCTTTAGGAATAGGTGAAATTATTCAGAAAGCTTAATTTGTTTATTATTATATCACCAACATAAAGATTGGTATTATTAGTCCACATCACATTAATTCATAAATAGTGTATAAGACCAACTAAGAAAATCTTGATAGATTATAAACTGATAAATTAATTGAGACTATACTGATGAGGATGTTGCGTTGTAAACTGTATATACATTGTAATGAATAGTAGTATGGTTAAGATTGAGATATACATTAAAATTTTATGAGTATGTTTTAGGCTTGGAATGGTAAAAGCAGATCAAGCGGTTCATGCAGATCAAGCAGGAAGTGCAGATCAAGTAGGACAAGTGCAGATCAAGCGGATTAAGTAGGAGAGATACAGATCAAACAATTTATCATAAATTATGAATGACAAAATAAGTTCAAAACTATAGATCATATATTAAAAGAATAAATTTATACCAAATATCAATATAAATATTTAAATGTTGTAGGATCAGTCTAAATGTTTATTGGATTTTCATAAGATGCTTGTAGCGTTTTAGTTGATCAAAATTATTTTTGAATAACAGACATCTTAATATTTAATTCTTTGTTAATATTTATATATAAAAATGGAGATAAAACAGATTAAATAATTTATTATAAATTATAAATGACAAAATATGTTCACATTGTATATCATATATTAAAATAATAAAAATTACACCAAATATCAAAACAAATATTTCAGATGTTGTATGTTCAGCCAAAATGTTTGTAAAAATTTTATTAGATGCTTATACTTCTTCTATTTATTAATTATTTTAAAATATAAAATAATTTTTTTTGCTGACACTTATGTAGAAAAAAATTATATTTTTCGTGGAAAATATTGTAATTTTTGACGATTAGACATCATGCTTATAACTTTAAAATGATACAAATAATATTAATGTGAAGTATATAGTTTGAGTTAATAATTGTACATTATTTATAAAATCAAATAAATATATTTTAAAGTTAAGTGTGTAATAAAATTATTTATTAGTAAAAGGAAAAAAAAAAGGCAGATCAACACCACCAAATGTTAGCGGATGGGATCTGCATGCAGATTTCCTGCTTTTTCTACAAAAAGACAAAAAAATTGAACTGCATGCAGATCTCCCGCTTGAACTGCTTTTACAAACAGAAAATGGTGAATGGTAAACATAAGGCAGGAGAATTGCCTATTACGGGAGATTTATTCATCGGGCACTCATTCATATAGATTTATCATTTTCTTTTAGTGCCCGATGAATAAAATGAAAATTTATAAAATTTGTGTTTTTTAATCTAAACAGTATCTATATGAATAGCTCATGGGTGAAATATAAACGAGCTGGGTTTTGGAAGTATTGGGCTTGGGCTTTACAATGCATTAAGACATCAGCCCATTAAAACACAGTCCAAATGCTAAAAGCAATACCTGAAGAAGAAACGCGGCAACTCCGGCAAAATCCTCAAATCCCTAAAGATTCTCGATTTCGTTCACCAGCCTCGTCGGGGATTCCATGGAGATGTGATCCTCACCTTATCCCATCTCCTCAATCTCTCTAGGTTACTCTTCAACAATATGTTCCTTTCTCTCTATCGCTTTTTGACTTTCATTGTTCGATGATTTTGCATGAAAAAAAAATCGATTTTTAGATATAATGTAGTCATGACGTCATATTTTAAATCAGTGTAATGTGTAAAGTCGATGTCTTTGTATAATAACAGATGCTAATGATGGATAATACCGAACCTGATCAACAACAAGCAAAGCAAAAGCGACTAACAAGAAAGAGATGGACACCGTCTCTAGACAAGGTCTTAGCTGATTTGGTTGTTAAACAGATCCAACTAGGAAACAGACAGAACAACGGTTTCGACAGGAAAACATGGCTCAACATACGTAACGAGTTCAACCACCAGACGGGGCTTAATTACAACAACAATCAGCTTAGGAAACATCTTAATGTTTTGAGACAACGTTATGATTCGGTTAAATCTTCTCAGATCCATAACCAGCTTGTTATGGAGGATGCAGGTTGTATCTTGGGGTTGGACTTGTGGGAAGATTTTGGTGTAAGTCTTAAACTTCTTTTTGTTTGTTTATTGACAAAAAAACAATGTTCATGAAATCGCTAGGCGGTAATTAGGCCTTTTAGAGCATGATTAATGGATGGTGCTTAGGGTGGGGTTCTTAGTGGAATATAAGAAACCGTCATTTAAGCCAGTTCTTAGTTTTTTAGTTTTTTTTAGTTAAAAGTTAAGAGACGATTTCTTATATTTCTTATATTCTGCTAAAAAATTCATCCCAAGAACTCCCATTAATCATGCTCTTATAGGGGATTATTGATTATGCGGGCGTCTAAACCGATTTTTTTTTAACGTTTAAAAAATTATTCTTATCTTATTTGTCGCTGGTTAGACCGATTTTTAGAACACTGGAAAAAAAATGATGCTGAGTTTTTTACTTATGGTTTTGACAGGTGCAGCCTAGGAGTGAACCGGTTAAAGTTAAGGATTGTCCAATCTATGAGCAGCTTTCCACTATATATGGTGATGTTTCCTCTGAGGGGATGTATGCTCAGTCAAGTCACTTTGAAGGTTTAGAAGAATCAATGCCAAATCATACCCCAGAGAATGTACCAACGCCAAATGTGGAGAGAAAGAGGAAGAGAGAATTGGATTTGAAGAGTTCTTCTGTGTCTCCGAGCCAGATTGATTCAGCGGTAATGGAGACTATGGCAAGTACTTTGTCGGAGATGGTAACTACTCTGAGGTCAAGGATGGATGGTTTGGGAAAGGAAGAAGAAGATGATAGGTTTAGTATCACAAACTGCATCAATGTGCTTGATGGGATTGAGAATGTGGATGAAGGTGTTTACTTTGCTGCTTTAGATCTTTTTGAGAGTCCTTGTCTTAGAGAGACTTTTATCTCTCTTAAAGCTAACAAGTTGAGGTTAACATGGTTGCAAGTTAAGTGCAGGAACAAAGTTACTCCTTCAGTGACACAGCTAGGTTGACTTCAAGCTATATATATTGATTTGGTCTTTTTAGCCTTTTTTTTTTACTGATGACAAATAGTTCAGAAGGAGAATAGTAATCAGCTGTAAGTTGAAGATATAAGTTAGTCTATCATGTTTGCTCATTATATCAGAAGTGGGTTATCTTTTAACTGTTTCATAATTTGTCACATGTTTGGTGAACAAAGGTATTGTACAATTGTCGACACACAATGAAGAAACATGAGAAGGAAGAAAGAGAGACTCTTTGATATGGTTCTATAGTGAAGTATAACTTAGTCATCATCCTTGAACTCCCTGACCAGAAGAAAAATAAGAGAAGAGGTTGTGTAAGTATCTAAAAAGAAACTGTTGTGGGTTCTTTAAGGTTGTCAGAGATGTACCTTCGATCAAGGTAACGAGGTTGAAGACCAGAGCCTTGACAAGTAGTGCAAGTCAAGGAACCAGCACCATCACAGTTAATACAGTTAGAGACTTCCTTCTCTCCTCCACCAAGCTCTACTGTCACGTTACCACTTCCCACACATAATCTACATTTCTCTGCTCCATTACCAAAACATTGTCTTTAGACATACAAAAAATGTTTAAGAGAGAGAGAGGAGAGACGCATACGAGCTCCAGTTCCATTGCAGGGGAAACAAGGTTGAGTATTCTCTCGCTTAGCCTACCAAAACGACACAGTTTCATTAATTTCATTACACAAGTGAAGTTAAGAATGTGGAAGACTTACTGCATTGTCGATTTGTGTCTCGTAGAAGACAGGGATTCCTATTCCTAATGCGACGCTGGCTACACCAACAGATATTGCAACCACCTAATTACCAAAAAAAAAAAAATAATAATACAAAGTCTGTCTAGCTAGCTGGAACTGAGTTTTAAGTATCGAACCGTGTTGGTGTCGACTTCTGCTTTGACTCGTGGATAAGATGTTGACGTTGACCGGAGACGGAAAGAAGACGGAGTGAAGTTGACGGGACAGTGAATGAACGGAGAGTGGAGACGAGGAGGAGATGAAACTGATACTCTCATTTTTGGGCTTTGTTTTGTGTGAAGTGTCGCGTAAGCGCGCGAAGATGAGAGGAAGAAGAAAGAAGAGTCAGTGACTAAGATTTGACCACGTGGCTTTATTTTGTTTTAGGCACGTCATAATTGTATATCGCCTTATCCGGTTTGATAATTGTAGAAACTTAAACTGTGAAAATTTTATTTAATATCAAAACGTAATTTTTTTATATGTTAAATAGTTAAAGTTTATATTGCAGGCTGACTGTTACTTTGTTGATTAACCTATGTGCTTTTGATTTCGCAGCTTAAATTGTTAAAAAAATATATATATTATATTAAGTTTTTTTTTTTTGTAGAAAATCCATTTTAGAATTCAAAGAAATTTGTTTGTCAGTTTATATCACTCTTTGCGCCAACAAAGGAGATACAAAGATAAAAAGGAATGTAAAGAATGAAAGTGTTAATCATAGGACCACACGGTTACAAGTTGTGACATATCATCATTGCATTGGAAAACACATGTAAATTTACAAAATTTCTAGAGATATATTGCATACATGTAAACGGGAGGTCCTAAAACAATAATTGAGTAATTGAAGAAGGAGATATATTGCGAATGATAGATAAATACAGTATTAAGAATTAGGGACCATTTTTGAGTATAAGTTGTTGTAAATCTTACCTGCTCAATCAATTGCATTAATTGATATGAAGTTTGTTTTATAACTCAGTGTGTACATCTTCTATTTCATCAGTTTCTTTGATTCTCTGATTCTCTCAGAGCTAAAGAAAGCAACACAACAAAAATGATAGAACTTTAGGTAGTCAGTTCCAATTTTCACATATAATTTTCAACAAGTTAGTTGATTACAGAGAGAGTGTGTAAACAGAAATACATTGCAGTTGTTACAAGACTCTAGTTAGCTTTTCCTAAAATAAAAGGTAGGAAGGATCTTTAATTTTTTTTGGTGGGAGATGTAATTAAATTACAAACGGTACGCAAGAGATCATATGCGGGGCTTGATTTGGTTACTTAAATAACTACAAACTTTATGATTACACGAAATGGGGACACAATTAATTGTCTCTATTCTTCTTTTATTTGAACCGTTTTGCATAAACCTTTAAAATCATATGCACTAATATAGATTGTAATCTTGTATCAAAATTATTTTAATTAAGAACTTATGATACAAGAAATTTTAGCATGGTATAGTAGTATTGTTTATTAAAATAAATAGAATAATTCAAAAATTTTATTACCATTCAATTAAATATAATTCCATTCAATATTAACCGATAAAATCATCATCTCGAAAACAAGTTAAATCTTATATCGAAATGAAAAAACTAACATTAATATACAAATCAACTGAATCATTTTATTCATTTCCAACTATATTTGAGTTTGAGTTCCAAATATATATATAGATGCATATATATTTTTAAACAGTTAGGCAAATTGAAAAGGGAAAAGAGAAAATACCCATAGAAAGATCCATAGTTCATAATAATTTTTGTTTTAGATAAAATAGTTCAGAATTTTTCTCTCTCTCTGTCGGTGTTTTAAAAATCTTCTGATGTTCGTGGCTTTGTATTTAACGCATAGGCACTTGAAATTACACAAAATTGGAATTGGCAGGGTATTCTCTTTACTGCAATACAAGATGGGTATTAGTAATATAAAATTTGTATCAATTTTGAAGTTATAAAAGGGTTAAGTTTATCAACCAAAGACTAATTCTAACCAGCCACATGCTTAATAATAGATTCTTTAACATGCAGAGTAGGAGTAAATTTTCTGTCAGTCGAATAAATTCCATTGTCACCGGAGTAACACTTATTTAAATGTTATGTGTACGTAACGATTACTTTACTTCTCGTTTTGAAATTCAAACTGATAAACAAACAAACAAACAAACACATTCGCACCACCTCGCGCTCCTTTTGCTCTTTGTCTAGATAAAACATAAATCTAGACAAAAAAAAACATAAAAACTGCAACATTATTAGCTTTATAATGATAAATCTGATGAGTTTTATAAGGTTATTATTTATTAAGAGTGAGAACAAAAAGAGTGTAACAAATGTGGAACACGACATGTGAAACAGTGAAAGCAAGCCAAAGCGACTACGTGATACAGTAAATCCCAGTATTTCGGCGAATGTAAAGATCTCAATTAGAATTAGATTTTTACATCCGGTCAACCCTAAACCTTATGATTAATTTATTTTATGGCTTTTGAATTATTAACATAAATGACTCAAATTTAAAGGTAAAAAGGATTAGAATAAAAAAAATAGCAAGCTGCGTTATACTATTATGCTGTGAAATCTAAATATTAATAACTGATCACGCTATAAATGATTCTTTGCTTAAAACATTAAATTTGTGTTTATGATAATCAGTACTCCCTCCGGATACAAAAATTGATGTTTTGGATACAAAAGATTTGAGTCTATTTTTAAATGAAAGTCCCATACTTCTTGCACTAACTTCAAGTGTAACTCCACGAATAATTACTATAGTGAGATTTATTATAGTCCATCTATTTCTTATTAAGATGAAGGACGAGATTGTACAATCTTAAACTACTTATATAAATATCAAATTGTAGACAAAACTCTATACAAGTATATAAAATTTAGCAAAATTTATATGGAGTATATATAAGAAATTAAAGACATTGGAAATTTCATTCGAGACAAATCGAACATTTGGAATACGTAATCACAGTTCCAAATACGATGTTTCCAAAAACCTTGTCTGTTCTTAACGTGTAATCTTGATCGGTTAAAACAATTGTTTGACCATTATTTTACCATGATTATTATTGTTATTATACCCATTTTCTTGCTCTCATGCATAGGAATCCCCAATATGTACAACAACAACAAAAAACGAAAAAGAGTAACATATTACAAAAAAAAAAGAATAACATAGATTAATTTCCAAAAGTTTATTATCTTTCAGCAAAATGCTTATAATAAATTTACATTTGTGTAAAAAGGTGAATTTACATTTATATTACTCCTTCTGTTTCGAAATAGATGTCATTCTAGAGGAAAAATTATGTTTCAAAATAAATGTCGTTTTAGAGTTTCGAGACAAAATTTATTATGTTTATATGATATTTTATTTTTCTATTGGTTGAAAAGTGGTTAGGTGTATTGGTAATTGTGTTTTTATATTGAAAATATGTAAAATTAAATGTTTTCTTAATCTATGTGTAAAAATCTAAACGGAGGAAGTAGTATTTACTAGCGTGTGTTAATAATTAGACTTCATTGAGACACTTAAGTAAAATAATAATACCAAACATGGTTTCGTCTCATTTCTGATTTCTTTTTGCATTTCGACCAATGGAAGCTTTATTGACACTGACCAAGTCAGCTCTTAAGAAGGTTGGAAGATTGGATGTGAAGTAGTTAACTGTTAAAGCACATATAATCCAAAGAGTTAACGTCATTTTCTTCTAACTAATTTCTTATCATAAGCACTTTGGAACTTATAATTCATCTTAAATACTCTATTTCTTTTATGGAAAATATACAGTTAACTGCACCACAACTAACAGAGCAACACACAGATGCCAACATTACCTACAATATTTTTTCACTGACAAAACAAAATATCTGAATATTAGTACACTATTTTTCAGTTAAAAGCTTATTATTATGATTAAGAAAACAAATCGAATGACAAGAATATTACTAAAAGTAAGAAAGTAAAACAGTAAATAAGGAATTAAAGAAACATAGAGCCCCACCACTTTAATCTTTCCCTCCTTATTACCCCATCTTGGATCCATCTTCGATTTCAACACCAACAAAAAAGCCTTATAATTAAAGAACCAAAAAGAAACTCTCACATTCTCTCAAGAGCTTCTCTCTTTCAGTTTCAATGGCCTTACTAACTTTCTTGCCGGCAAACGCAGAGACTCCAAAACACACTCCACATCCAAGCAAACGCAAGAAACGCAACATTCCCACCGACCAAACGCAGAAACCGCACAAACCGCAGAAGCAGAAAGCAGTAGTACCTCAGAAGCAACCATCTTCATGGGACCAAATCAAGAACCTCTTGACTTGCAAACAAATCGAAGGGTCAAGAATCCACGACCCATCCAAGAACTCTCAACCCGGTCCGTCCACGACCACTCACTTATTATCACCTTCCAAGCTCGGCTCCTCGTGCAGCTCCATCTGCAGGTTTAAAGACGTTGCTCACGGCAACACTCGTGTGGTTCACAGAGCAGACCACTCTCCAGACGTAGCTAACTTGGCTACTCCTGACTCGGAGACTCGTCTTCTAACTAGGAAACCTGGTCAACAAGGTTCTTCTTCATCGTCTCGGTCTCTTACATCTGGCTCAAATAGATCTAACGTCAGTGGAAGTTACACGTCATCCTCATCGACGTCATTTAGAACCATGCAGTTCCGTAAACTCTCCGGATGTTACGAGTGTCACATGATCGTTGACCCTAGCAGGTAATAAACAACAAAATTAGTTGTAATTACATTTTTGGATTGTTTCATTTATTTATTTATTTTGTTTTTTTTTTCTTTTTGAATTTTAGGTATCCAATTTCTCCTAGGGTTCGTGCTTGTTCCCAATGTGGAGAAGTTTTTCCGAAGCTTGAAAGCTTAGAGCTTCATCAAGCGGTTCGTCACGCAGGTAACGTTTACTTTTCTCTTTAATATGTTGGACTTTATCACTTAGCTCACGTTATTTAATTTTGGTGTGTGTAGTCACGTTTCTAAAGTTAACCCTAGTGTTAAGACCTTTTTATTCATCTAGTGGTATTTCTAAAGTTAACCCTAGTACTGAGTCCTCACACATGTTTTGGTAAATACACACTTGAATATATAATGCTAAGCAATAATTTAATAATATGCTTTCATGTTATAGCTAGTTAGCTTAGTTTTTCAATATTGGAATCAAGATCAAGATCAAGATCAAGATCTTATTGTTATTGTCGGTGATATTATCTATCAAATAAAATTAAGAAGATTTGGCATTATGTTACAGTTTGTAACTAGAATTTAAACCCACTAAACGCATATCAACGAAAAAAAATACAAAATAGAATAGGAATATTAATGGAGAACTGTATATTATATAGTTTTATATCGTTATTTTGCGATGGGACCGACCATTTGTACGATAAACAGCTGTTACGGTTCTTAACTAAATTCAGTGTCCACTGACAAACCGAATTTAAAAACTCAGTTTTTGTTTTTCTCCTCGACATTTATCATGTTCCCTGATCTAAACGGTATCGTTTAATTGCAGTGTCGGAGTTAGGTCCGGAAGATTCGGGTCGAAACATAGTGGAGATCATATTCAAGTCAAGCTGGCTTAAAAAAGACAGTCCAATCTGTAACATCGAACGGATATTAAAAGTACACAACACTCAACGAACAATCCAACGGTTCGAGGATTGCCGAGACGCAGTGAAGGCGCGTGCACTTCAAACCGCAAGAAAAGACGCTCGTTGTGCTGCCGACGGTAACGAGCTTCTCCGTTTCCACTGCACCACTCTCGCTTGCTCTCTCGGATCACGTGGCTCGTCTTCTCTCTGCTCTAATCTCCCTAGCTGCGGCGTGTGCAACGTGATACGCCACGGGTTTCACGTAAAATCCGGCGCCGGAGGAGCCAACGCAGCCGGGAACGGTGGCGTGAGGACGACGGCGAGTAGTGGAAGAGCTGATGATTTGCTGAGGTGTGGTGGTGATGTGAGGAGAGTGATGCTTGTGTGTCGTGTGATCGCTGGGAGTGTTAAACGTGTGGAATCTAAGGCGGAGGAGAAGGCTCCGGTAGAAGATCGTGGCGGTGGGTTTGACTCGGTGGCGGTCAACGCCGGAGTTTATTCGAATATGGAGGAGCTAGTGGTTTATAACCCGAGGGCTATATTACCTTGCTTCGTGGTTATTTACAAGGTTGTAGAATCTTGAATTTGTTATATTAACTTCAGAAATAATGTTTTTATTAACTTTGTAATATTGTAGCCTTTGTAACAAGATTAGGTTAATCATCATTTAAGATCTTAACCTTCATCATAAACTCCATATTATTATTGATTATTAGGTGTAATTACGAGTCCAAGGTAATTATTATCGTTGAATTCATGGTTAGGCTAAGAAGAAGTCATTGGTACTTTGGTAGAGTGGGCCAAAGGACTATGATTATAAACCAATACTTTCATATTAAATCTTTTTTTTTTTTCACATGAATATCTGATTAGATAAGAAACAAGGATTACAAGATAGCATTCTTAAACCGAAAAGGATTACACCGGTACCCAAGCCAACGGTCACATGGAACAGACCTTGGAAACTAAACCCATACAAGGGATGCCAACAAACATACACATAACATCAAGTAAAGATAAGGTTGACTAAAACCAAACATCACCGGTGAGGACTCCAAATGAACTTGAAACAACATAATCAGAACTCCGTGAAAGATACTTATAGAGATTGCCCACGGCCAAACCACCAATAAGCCACTTCCTCCTTGAACAACGAGGGAAACCCTCAAGAACCAAAGAACCAAACTCCACCTTCCGACAAGTTGAAATCTAAAGATTCACAACACACTCTCGGAAACGGCAGGGCAAGCACGGCCGTTGAAAGCCTAGTGATGGAGCTTATGAAAAGACAAGAACACACCTAAATCTGACAGAGAAACAAGGAGCCAAGCCTAACCGAACTCAGAGACACCAAACACCACATGAATGGCTCATTACAGAACCGGAAAGAATCCACAGCAGCTTCCAAAAAGGAGAACAAGCACACCTAAAACCACACCAGTGATAAGATAGAGAAAGGAATGGAGAAACAAACCGTCGATCTATCGATCCGGTACTTTCCTCTCTGCGCACTAACACAGATCTGAGAGGAACAGTGTTTTCCAGCCATAATCTCCATCAAAATAGGCTCCAATCACCACACGCCGAACATATGTTAAACTAGACGAAAAGCTAAGCAGATTGGGACCGGCGCTGGCGTTAACGGAACCACCACGCGCCGGTCATCGGAAAAACGAAGTTCGTAACAGGGAGAGAAGGTGGAGAGGAGAGAGAGCGGTGTTTGCCAAAAAAAAATGACTTTCATATTAAATCTCGTAATAGAATTTTTTATTGTAAAATAAATATTATATTATCTTTTGATATAAAATTTATTAATTTTTATTATAATTAATTTTTTAATAATTAAAATATAGTTAGATGTATGAATAATTATGTTTTATATAAAAATATATAGATTATAATTTATTAATTTGTATGTATAAAATTAAAGGGACACTTAATATATAAAAAACTAACGGATAAACTACTCATGGTGTTTTTTACTTGGAAATGCAATTTTAAGTCACAGCAATTTGTTAAAAAAAAAAAAAAAAAAAAAAAAAAAAAAAATCACAGTAATTTTCAACAGCTCTGTTCACACTGTGTGGGCATCAAATACTGTGGGAGGTGGCAGAGAGTGATATAATTGCTACCACATGCGTACTCAGTAAATTGATGTCTCCCAAGTTCTTTATTTGGTAGGGAAAGCTGATTTCTTGTTTTTTAATAACCAGGCAAGGCTGACTTTGATTAAAAGATGTAATTATTTGGCTATTGTATGATTTTAATCTAATAGTTATATAATATATACTCAGATAAGTTTAAAGTTAACCCATAAATAGTTAAGGGTTTGCACGCTACGAGGCGGCCATTGGAACGTTCCTCGTTGTCAGAAGCTGCTTACATTGTTTAATTTGCAGCTTGAAAGTTGCAAATTAAGTCAGTGATATGTGGCAGCCCAAACTATCATTCTTTTTTGGGCCTCACTGTTAATGCAAATTATCTTCAATAATGCCTCGCCTTGATGCTCCTCTTTGTGAAAACGCTTATCAACTACATTGGAAGGGAGATAACATGATGTTTAACAATTGAAAGGAAGGTATCCTTTGTAAGAGAAACAAGAACGATCTCTTTTCATCACGAGAGACTACGTAGTATTGCAAGTAACCGAACATGACAACCAATTCACCGTGACTATGTACAAGACTCAATAGCTGAAACCAAACGCAGAATCAGACGCAGTCCCTTCTCTTGTAAAAGACCAGACATATATGGTAAACACATCATCCATATGTTTGATATGGTACAAGTTTAGTGTTAACTTTAGAAGATAGAGTGCCAACAACTAGTTCGGTTTTGATTATTTTATTTCAGATGAAACCTATGATATGGTTCCCATATTTATCTAGTTAACCATTAACAATTTACTCTATCGTTTCAATTTACTTGTCATTTTAGACTTTTACACAAAGATTAAGAAAACATTTTATTTTGTATATTTTCTAGAAAAAACATAATTACATGTACACATAACCACATTTCAACCAATAGAAAAATATAATAATAAATAAAATTAATAAATTTTACACTGAAACTATAAGACGACACTTATTTTAAAACGAAAATTTTAGTCTAAAACGATAACTAAACTAAAACGAAGGAAATAATTCTCAACACAAACTGAACCAAAAACTGACGAGTTTATGCTTTATTCTAAGCCTTCATACTAGCACTAGGCTATGATGTTTGCTTGACATTTAGTTTTCTACACTACAACTTTAGTATACTAGGTTCTTTTTTTATAGAAAAGGAAGTAGGAATAAAAATATATTCAAGAACCATTACGAAGGTTGACATTATTATCACAAACCAAAACAAAACACACGAGAAAAGGAAGAAAAATTTACAAACCAAACTGTTCTCATTCATTGCAAAACCTTTTTCTTTGAGAAAATCCCTCCAATAAACAAAGGGATCAAACTCTTCTTCTTTGTCTTTGTCATCTTCTCCTTCTTTCTCATAGAAGGGTGTCTCCCAAGAAACATCCCCACCACCGGACCATTATCATCATTACCCATCGTAGGGTTTGCAAATCTTACGTATCTCTTCTCACTCATCGACCTCAACCTCTGAGTAGTACTACTAATAGGTCCTCCATCATCAACTTGTGGAACCAACACTTCAAACTTGGTTTTGAAAACAGTATCATCCATAGTCTTTACTGGCTCCTCAGGAACTACTCTCAGCTTCTGAAGCTCTTGTCTTGTCCTCTCAAGCTCTTCTTTGAGACAAGACAAAGAGTTCATCACTTGCATGCTTTCTTCCTTTGCTCTTTTGAGATTGTGTTTTGTCTCTTCAAGCTCCATCTCAATCTTTGCTGGATCCTCCATCTGTTTCTTCCCATAATCTCGAAATAAATAAAAATAGAAAGTCAAACAAAGAGAGAGAGAGAGGGAGAGAATGGGACTTGCCACTTTGAGATGGTTGGAATAGACTTGATTAGCTAAGACTCTCTCACCAAACAAAGCAACAGCTTCTTTGACGGTTTTAAACGGTGCCGTTGTGTCTATCTCTGCTCTCTTCATAGTCTCCATCTATGGCTGCTTTGCTCTCTATGAAGAAGTAGAGATATACATAAGCTTATAGTAGCTTGATTACTTTAGAATCAAGTCAGAGATTACGCAAAGCATATTAGTTTCTTCATCTCCACTTTGTCAGAATCTTCTTTTTTCAATTATTTTAGTATATTTTATAGGTTTTTAGGAATATATATTCCATATAATAAAAAAAATTATCCGTAAAAGATCTAGCTAGTTACTAGTTAGATACATGATGTGTACTAGTACATTTGTCAGGTCATAGAACAACTATGTTTTCTCTTTTTAAACTCAGATAGTTTGCAGCACAAGAAACTCGTAGCTTAAGGCACAAGAAACTGTAATCTTGCTATTAAAAACTCAAACCTCTGATTCTCATTTACATAAAAAAAAGACATTTAAGGTTTTTTTCTGGAACAAGTGGATTCAATCACCACTCTCTGAAAAACCTTATTCATCCTATTTTCATCACCTGAGAAAAACACCATCTCAATCTTAGGTGAAGACAGAACAAAACTCTGTTTTTTCCTCAAACCAAGTGTATGATCCTTAGAACTAGTTTAACCATACTGCTCGTTGCAGAGTAGCTGCAATGGCGTTCTTGTATCTTCGTAGATAAGTGGGAAATGGTGCTCTTGTCTGTTCATCACCGTCCTTGAACGGTTGTTGTTATGGTGATGGCTCATTGACATTGCTGCAGCAGCAGACATGAGACGATGTTGTTGTTGAGATACATTGTTGTTGTACCTTGGCGAGGAAGCAACTTGTAGAGGTTGAATACTAGCCAGGTTCAGGGAGAGGTTTGGTTTGATGTATTGGTTCGGCATGGGGTTTCCACTTGTTAATGGTCTGTACTGAGCAGCCCACATCCGTTTTTGAAGCTGTTGTTGCTGCTGCTGGTTTGCGTTGTAAGCGGTTTGGAATCTACTAGCTAGATAAGGAGACATTTGCTGCATCTACAAGATGAAAGTCTCATTAAGTACAAGCCAAAACTTGAGATCAGAAGAGAGAGATAACTTAGGTCACCTGATGATGGCTAGAGATTGCAGGTGAGAGCTGGCTATTGTAAGCTGCAGAGATAGGATATTGTGGAAATGAGTTTGGGAACGGAGAGTGAGATTGTGCTTCTCTAGTAGATGAGAGAGACAGGAAGTCGTAGCTCTGTTCATTCAAAAGTGTAAGAGAGTTAACCTCAGAGAGGAACAAAAAAAAACGAAGACAGAAACAGTGATGTATGTTACCTGTTTTTGAGTAGTGTGTGGACCATAAAGCTCCAAAGAAAGCTGAGTCTTGTCTTCTTCCACTGGTGTTGGACTATAAGTCTTGTGCAAATCTATCAGATGTTGATTTTGATACCTGATGGATGGAGCAACCTTGGTTTTAAAGTCACTAGGATCAGGGAGTCTGCATTGTGACACTTCTGAAGGTCTTTGCTCAGCTTGGTTGCTCTTACTGGTCTGTAATGCTTTGATGAGATGGCAAATGTAAATGTGAGTGGCACATTTCTTAAACTTCCTGGGACGGACGCTGAACGGTGAAGCATTCTTGGTATGAGAAACAGCTTGACCCATCCATGGTGGAAGCTTTGTAGAAGATGGTCTGGTTTAAATAAAGAAAGATCAACATAAGAGAAAGAAACCAATCAGCTAAAACTACAATCAATCAGCTAAAAACTAAAACTAAAAGACTTACTTTGAAAGAACGTGGGAACTTGATTGAACGGTTGAAGATAGGCCTGGCCACAGAGCAAGATCACCGTTGCTCTTATATTCAAAATCACTTGTTGCAGCCTTTGTTTCAATGGCTCTTGTCTATGAAATTTGAATAGAATCATTAGTTTGACTCTTAGCCAATAGAGTATGACTCAAAGGAGTGTTGGTTTTGTGCTTACAGGTGCATTAGTCACATTCATTGAGCTGCTTTGCTTCACTTTATCACGAAAATCAACCATCCTGAAAAATTAGACAGCCAAAAAAACATCAAATCAAACATTAACCAACTAAACCAAAAAGAAGTTACACAAGAGAATTGCTACAAACCCTGTTAAGTTGCGCTGGTTATGATCTTGCTGTAAAGGCATCTCATCAAGCTGCTTAGGTTTGGCTGAAGAGAGAACTGAAACCACCGGTTCAAGTGATTCATCTTTGGTGGTAAAGTCAGTTTCCACAACTAAGATGGAGTCATCTTTCGCTGTTTCTTTATCATCATCAGATAACAAAGGAGGATCACAAGTCTTGTTATCAAGAGAGCTAGCCTCGGTAAACATATCAGCTAAACCGAATAAAGTCTCAGCAACTTCTTCCTCATCTTTAGAAATCATCATGGACTTAGAGACAATATCTTTTGCATCCTAATAATCAACAACAAAGAACAATAACTCAAGTTTTACTCTACAAAAAAAAAAAACTTTTAATCTTAATTGACTCAATAACCAACCGTTACTTACTTGATTATCCTTAACCAAATCCGTATTAAGAGATTCAGTTTCGGTTTTGGACCGGCTTAGTCTCTTTGAAGGAGAGGATAGGTTAGAAACAGATTCAAGATTCCTCCTCTTCTTCATGGCTGCAACACACACACACACAAAAAAAGAGAGTAGAAAAGTGAAAAAGAAGTTTAGGTAAGAAAAAGGAAGAGCAGAAATTTCAGATTCTGAATTGTGGTAAAGAGAAAGAGTTTGCCAAAGTAATAAAGACAAGCTTTAAAGATAAGAAAGAACATAAATTAAAGAAGAAAGACAAATAGCAGAATCTTGCTTCTATAAAAAGAAAGTGATGATAGTTCAAAAAAAAAAAAAAAAAAAAAAAGCAAAAAGAGTTTTGAGGTTGCTTGAAAAACAATCCAAAGCTTTCAAACACCATCATCTTCCCAACTACTCACAAACTGAGATTTACTGACACTTTGCACATTGCTACATCATAATGGTTAAAAGTTCACAAAAATAAAAAAAACATTCCATTTTATTTATTAAAAAAAAATGAAAAAAAAATAGTAAAGAAGATAAGGGTCATGAAGAAGGCACCTGAACGAAGCTTCCTTGGTACAGAGGCATGAGGATGCACACCACAACCATTACTACTCTGCTTCAAGTTCTAAACATGAGAACAGAGAGAAAGAGAGATTAGTGTGAGTTTAAGAGTTTCCTTAATAATGAAGAAGTTACCTTTTTTAGAAACTTAGAAGATTTCTTCTTCTTCTTCAGAGAGACATCTTCATTTTCTAAATCTGAAGCAGGAAAGTCGTAACACATCATCATCATCTCTCGTTTCTTATGATTCAGTTTCTCATCCTCTTCCACTTTCTTCAACATCCTTTTCTTCGATTTTGTTGAATACTCAGATCCTTTAAAAAGTTCAACCAAAAAAACAGAGCAAACAGAGCAAAGAGAAGAATGAGTTTTAAACATAAAAACGACAAAAAGGAAAGAACTTTGGTTCGGTTTTATATTTGTTGGTTTGTGGGAACTGTGAAATGATAAAAAAAAAGATTTGGAATTTACCAGATTTTTTCTTGGATAATCGATTGGTTCCTTCTCCACGTCTCATATCTCGACGACCCATTTCCATTTTCTTGTCTTCTTCTTCTTCTTCTTCAGCTCACCACTCAAAACAGAGAGGTAGAAGAAGAAACAGAGGAGATATAACACAAGAAAATAAATCTCCTCACTTCAAAATCTCTGCAAACATAAAAAAAGACACACACTTTTGGTAAAGATATTAACACAAAAGAGAGAAAGTTAAAAAGACGTTAAAAAGAAAAGTTTGTTTCTCGTGTCTCGAAGAATCAGGTTCTCTTCGTGTCCAAAGTAGATTTAAAGGATGGTTTTTTTTTTTTGTACACACAACCCGTGAAGAACTTCGGTTCCAAAGAACAGTGTAGATCCTTGAAACAGTTCAAAAGTTTAATAAAAAAAAACACACACACATTCGAAGCTTGAGAGATTCATTTGCAAAAAAAAAAAAAAACAGAGTTTAGTAAAGATGGAAAGAGATAAAAAAAAATCAAACCTTGTGCTCTCTATCTCTCAAGGCTAAGATGATTTTTTTGGACATTTGAGAAAAGAAACAGACGGATAATCCGAAGCTGTCGCTTCGCTATCGATCGCTTTTATAAATGTCACACACACAAAGATATGACAAAAACGCTTATTCTCTCTCTCTCTCGTTTTATCTTACTCTCTGTCTATCCAACGGTGTGTAATAAAAGAGACACGATCACCGTCCGATTTGTTTGAGTGTTTTGCCACGTCATTAGAAAGGAGATAGTTGTGTCAGACACGTCAGCATTAAGAGCTGAAAATGTACTTACTACTGCATGGTTTTCCTATGCATTTCATTTTGAATCTGTCCTACTCATGTGAATCTGTTCTTTTTTTCTTTTCTCAAATGGTCATATTGAAAATTGATAAAAATAACTCAATTAATATGAACAACCTAAAATTGTCTAATTCTGTAAATAATTATTTTAATCTCAATATCTTCTACATTTTTTCTTTTTTTTCAAATGATCATATTGAAAATTAACAAAAATAACTCAATTAATATGAACAACCTAAAATTGTCTAATTCTGTTAATAATTATTTTAATCTCAGTATCTTCTACATTTTTATTTCCTTTTTATTTATTTAAACATGACTTTTAATTAGACTTATCAATAGTACCAATCAATAAATTAACAAACGGCTAATTAATTGAATGGTTTGAATTTTGTGGCATATCGAAATTTGCAATCAATTGTAGTAAAAGTATTAAATTTGTAATTAATTTCATACGTTTATAGGACTAACATTCAATTTTTTTTTGGAACACATCATCATATACTACTATTGATGAATTTTAGACTAACTATTCAGTACTTCCTCTCTGCAAACCATTTATAGCTAAAATGTATCCCCCCACAAAGCTATGATAACTTCATATAAACCGGGTCCCCTCCGCAAACTCAAACGTTTGGTTGTCTTCCATAAGTACTGAGAGATTGTCACGGCGTTTTTTCTCTTCTCTTTATGACTAGTCCAATCAAGAAACGGCAGCACTTTCTCAATGTCTAAATTCCAAAATGATCTAACTATGTATTTGTGCCAAAGGGTAGCCTCTAGAGAGAGTGAGATAAAAAGTTGTGGTGATGTTAAAACCGACGGCTATTATTACTGTTCAGTTGTCTCATCATTTCATCACACTGAAATCGACAAGTCAGGTGGTTTCTGCCAAATGTCTACTGTGTCTACCAAATAAATTGATTCTTCTCTTTCTTTCTTTTCTTTACCCATTTGATTACCTTTCATTTATGTGTTTGTTAAAAAATAAATGGTTTTAAACAATAGGGATCCCTAAACAACATTCCAATCGTTTGATTGAAAGTGTTGAAGTAGTTACAAATAAAAATTATTTTCAAAAATCTCAGAATAGTATCAGGGCAGATTATTATTATATTTTTTTTTTTGAACAACATTTTATTACTTAATTAAATAGTATAGGGCAGATCTTATCGAACTCGTTTGATAACTGACACAGAAATTTGAAAATACTAATTTTCCCACTCTCTTTTCTTCAATTAAATAAAGCTATGCGAAGAAACGATTTTTGAGTAAAGCCCATTATTACGATTCGAGTTACGGCCCATAAATTGTGCAATTGTAAGCTATGCAAAGAACGGTTTTAGACAGAAGACCCATAATTATGAGTGCAGTTAAGGCGAACTCTTGATAAGGTCCACTAAACCTACGTTTTGTATAGTTATTTATTATTATACTGTACTCAACATAATGTAATCGCCTCCGTAGCATAGTGGTATTGCGTTCGCTTCGTAAGCGAAAGGCCGCGAGTTCGATCCTCGCCGGGGGCTTCCTTTCTTATTATTTTCCCTTTTGCCTACGCTTTACAACTGACTTACACAGATCATCCCTAATCACACAAAGAAATTAGCCCTCTCACCAACCTATTTCTTTTCATAACATTTTAAGCAATTAGACTAAGGCCATGTTTATCGGAGAGTTTTTAGGTGGAGTTCTTAATTTTGATTAAGATATGTTTCTTAATTTTTAACTAAGAAAAATTAAAAATCGATTTTTAGCCCAAAAATGAAAATATCAAATCATGAGTTAATAATCTCATACTAAACATCTCCAATAAACATCACATCTGTTTCTTCTAAGAAGCTTAAAAAAAAATCAACCATTCTTAAAACGAACATGAGACCAATTCCACTCTTGATCCACCCTGGATTATTTTTTTAGAAGACCACCTTCTATATATATCTCTTGGCTGTAGTGTTTATTGCATTTGTCCAACTCGTACCTTGTGCATTTACAGCAACTTTACTATCCATGATCTATTCTATAACGCTAGTCATTTATATTTTGGGTTTAGACGAACCTAGCTACATGATACTCATTTACTATTTTCTATGGTATGGGTTCTGTTGACCAAATTTATGAATACCCAAATAAATATCGATGCTACCAAAATATCGTCTACAAATAAAATCCGATCTATGGATCGTTTTCCACAAATAACATAAAATCTCCTGAAAATATACATGTGTTCTGCTTTAAATTTTTAAAGAAAATTGAGAACACCCTAACGATACCGTCAGTCCAATTGTTAATTATCATTTCAAAAACAGCCGATCATTGAGGAAAAGCATTTAAATTAATCATCCGTAATGCAACATAACTTTATTTAGAAAATGAAACAAGACAACGAGATTATTCACGTTAAACCACATATATGCCAACAACATCCGACAAACAAAACGAAATAGTCTTGCTATTGAACAACCGCAGCAGTTTGAGAGTTTTTAGTTTATTTAAGGGCACTTGCGACGACCACCATGGGTGGTTTGGTTGGCGTAGCATGCGCACTTGTCGTAGTTTCCGTACGTGCCCGGTGGTACACAGTTGCACTTGGCGCAGCAAGACCCACACGCTCTGTGACAAAGGTTCGGTCTGCTTGATAGATTGCACCGTGCTATACACGCACTTCCACAATCTACAAAAATAAACGCTAGTCTTAGACTCTTAATATAAAATTTACATGTATACTATGTATGTGTGCACATATAAGCTAATATAATTACCAATCTTACTTCCGGAATCATTCTTTTCGTTTGAGATTTCCTGAGTGGATATTCGGAAAAGGATAAATATAAGAAGTATGTTTAGTCAAATAAATAGATATATATTGTGGATTTGCCATGAAAAATACGTACCACGTCTGCTTCGACGAGTTGGAGAACAAGAAGAGATATGAGAAGGGAAGCAATAAAAGCTTTTGAAATTGCCATAACTCTCTAATAAGATAATTATAATATGATCAGAGTTATCAGATAATTTGTTTTTGAGTTGTGTCTAATGAGAACTTGGAGGCCTTGTATTTATAGCCCTTCTTTCGATGGACAGCCAACTCCAATACTTTAGTATCTAGACCATTCTGTTAATCTTAAATTTTATTTATTTCTTTTAATTTAAATTTAGAAGAAAATATTTTGTAATTTGCTTTGGAGGTAAGATAAATAACAATCTGGCTGTAACTGGTCAACATAATCTGGAATCAATAAAAGAAAAAATGAAGGAAATTAGAGGAATAGAATATTGGAATAATTCCATTCCATTTATTCCTGATCAAAATNTAAATTTAGAAGAAAATATTTTGTAATTTGCTTTGGAGGTAAGATAAATAACAATCTGGCTGTAACTGGTCAACATAATCTGGAATCAATAAAAGAAAAAATGAAGGAAATTAGAGGAATAGAATATTGGAATAATTCCATTCCATTTATTCCTGATCAAAATTTGAATGAAATAATTTCTTTGATCTTTGTTCATTTTTTTGTGAAGTTGAATGAACATTCTATTTCATTGGTAAATTCTTTATAGAGTGAATGGAATAAAATATTCCTCATTATTTCATTGTAAATATTGACTCCAGTTGTAACATACACCAGAATTTAACCCACATGTCCGTTCGAGTATTTGTTTTTATTTATTATACACTAATATATATTTTACATGAATAATAGTAAATAAAGTAACAATAATCATATAAAATTGTAGACTCAGTCATTTCCAAACATAATAATTTTATAGTTTGCATTTGTAAATATAATTTACTTGTATTAAATTTTTATTTTGTATTTCTCGTTTTCTAAATACATAGCTTTTAGTAAACTTGTATACTACTGAAGCAGAATTTAAAAACATATAATATGTTATGTTTTTTTTTTTCATTTTATGTGAGTAAAGTTTTGTTTCATTTGTAAATAACTAATCTACCATATATAAGCAAATGAACAACAACAAAAAAACAGCAACAATAATATGGATTAATATTTTTATATGATTGTAGTACATAGTGTTAGCATGTTAACTATTTGAAATAATCAAATAAATAAATATTTTAAAATAGTAGGTTGTACAGTTTCCATTCAATTATATATATTTAGAAATTTTATAAGGAATAGATTATTAAAAATTGAATATTTGTACGTAACTATTACATTTTAAAATTTTATCTTTATTTAACACATGTATTTTTATTATTAAACATATGTTGAATTTACATGTGATTTTATTATTGATTTTTGTATTTAGATTATTAAACATAAGTTACAATTACATATGATTTTGATTTTACTATATGTTTTTAGTATGTAATTTTGTATTTCAGAAGTGGGTTTTTAAATACACAAACATACATCTTTTAAAACACTGAAGGAATATCAATTTAAGCTACTAATGGAGAAATTACATATATAATATCATGATATAAATAACTGTAAGAACATTTGAATTGCTATTATACGAAAATACATCCACTAAATAATACTAAATTCTTTATTTAGTTGTTTTATCCAAACCAGAATCACTATACATTTTCAAATTAATCTTGGGTTCACCCCATAGGGCATAGGGTGAACTTCTAGGTTCACCATCCAATAGGATTGCACTATTATATACTCCCTCCGTTTCGAATTAGATGTCATTCTAGAGGAAAAATTTCGTTTCAAAATAAGTGTCGTTTTAGAATTTTGAAACAAAATTTATTAGGTTTAAATGATAATCTATTCTTCTATTGGTTAAAAAGTGATAAGGTTTATTGGTAATTGTGTTTTTATATTGAAAATATGTAAAATTAAATGTTTCCATAATCTGTGTGCAAAAACCTAGAATGACAATTAAACTGAAACGGAGTGAGTATTTGATATCTTTTAAAAAAGGAAACAAAATTTTGTTAAGTTATATTATGTTTTTAGAAATAAAATAAAAATATAATAATAATAATAATAATAATAATTAATAAAAAGGAAAAATAATTTTAAAAAAGAAATTTTTTAGCACTAAACCCTAAACTCTAATCCTAAACCCTAAACCCCTGAGTAAATCATAAACCATTGGATAACTTTTATAAAAAAATTCCTTAAAAAAAATATTTTAATACCAAAACACTAACCCTAAACACTAAACCCTAAACTCTAATCCTAAACTCTTGGGTAAATCATAAACACTAAAACCCTAAACTCTAATCCTAAACCCTAAACCTTTGGGTAAATCATAAATACAAAATTTTTAAAATAGTTTAAGATTTATCCGAAGGTTTATGATTTACCCAGGGGTTTAGGTTTAGGATTAGAGTTTAGGGTTTAGCGTTAAAATTTTTTCTTTAGAAATAATTATTTTCGTTTTTATTGATTACTATTATTTTTTATTTATTTTTGTATTTTATTTTTAAATACATAATATAACTTGATAAGATTTTGTTTCCTTTTTAAGAAGATATCAAATATGAAATGGTTTAGTGAAAACGTTATGTATGTATCTAGCACATTTAACCTCTAATAGAATATTTAGGATTTCTAGTTTATATTTTATATTTTAATTTAATAAATCAAAAAAATTGCAATCTTTTAAGTTGATGTAATAGCTATATTAGAGAACATCACTTACGATTTTTATGTTGATTTCTATATTTTTTTTTTGTAAATTTATTTGTTAATTAAACATAAAGTGCCAATCATTTATAATTATATAAAAAAATTAAGGGTTATTTTTAACTTGTACTTCAGTTTACTATTACTATTTTCTATGGTATGGATTCTGTTGACCAAATTTATGAATACCCGAATAAATATCGATGCTAGAAAAATGTCGTCTACAAATAAAATCCGATCTACGGATCATTTTCACAAATAACATAAAATCCTCTGAAAATGTACATGTGTTGTGCTTTAAATTTATAAAGAAAACTGAGAACAACCCTAATAATACCCAGTCAGTCCAGTTGTTAAATATCATTTCAAAAACAGCCGATCATTGAGGAAAAGCATTTAAATTAATCATCCATAAAGCAACATAAATTTACTTAGAAAATGAAACAAGACAACGAGATTAGTTCACGTAAAACCACATACAGATATGCCAACAATTACTGACAAACAAAACGAAATAGTCTTGCTATTGAACAACCGCAGTAGTTTGTGGGATTTTAGTTTACTTAAGGGCACTTGCGGCGACCATCGTGGGTGGTTAGGTTGGCGTAACACGCGCACTTGTCGTAGTTTCCGTATGTGCCCGGTGGCACACAGTTGCACCTGGCGCAGCAAGTCCCACAAGCTCTGTGACAAAGGTTCGGTCTGCTTGAGAGACTGCACCGTGCTATACACACACTTCCACAATCGACAAAAATAAACGTTAGTCTTAGACTCTTAATATAATACTTACATGTATACTACCGTGTGCACATATAAAGCTAATATAATTACCAATCTTACTGCCGGAATCATTCTTTTCGTTTGAGATTTCCTGAGTGAATATTCGGAAAAGGATAAATATAAGAAGTATATTTAGTCAAATATATATATATATACTATTATTTAAGAATTAAATTTGCTTAGTTGTCATGTTCTCCATAAGTTTAGGTAATTTTGTTTATTTATCATATTTTTAATATTTATATATAATTCATTTATAAATAAAACGAATTTATATGAATATATCATATTTTAGAAAATAAGATAATTCTTGTGAATTATGTTTTTATCTAGAAATATATTTTAAGAATTATCTTTTTATCTAGAAATATATTTTTATATATAAAACTTAAAAAGATAATTCTTATGTATTATGTTGTTATGTTGAAAATATATTTTCTATTAGAAAACTTAAATTTAAGATATAAAAATTATATTATTAATAATTAAATTTATATTTTAGAAAAGAAGTTAATTCTTATGTATTATTATCTTGAAAATATATTTTTCTATTATAAAATTTAATCTAACATGTAAAAAATCTATACTATTATTTAGGAAGTGAATTTGATGTTTGCTGATTTGTCATATTTTCCATGATTTTAAATAATTTTGATAATTTATCATAATTTCTATAATTTTATATATAATTTATTATATATTTAAAACAAATTTATATTAATAGTATTAGATTTTTAGAAAATAAGATATTTCTATGTATTAAGTTGTTGTCTTGAAAATATATTTTTGTATTATAAAAAAATTAAGATATAAAAAGTTGTAGTTATTCTTATGTATTATGTTGTTATCTTGAAAATATACTTTTATATTATATAATTTAAAAGTAAATATAAATTACACTCAAGAAAAATTATTTAAGAAGTGAATTTGCTGATTCATTAAGTTCTCCATGATTTTAGGTAATTTTAATCATATTATATTTTTAGAAAATAAATAACTTATGCATTATATTGATTTTTAAATTAATAAAACATCAACTAATAAATATTTATAAGAAAGTTATTATAGAAAAATAATTATTGAAATATATACTTTTAAATATTTCTAAAGTTTGAGTTTTGTCATTAATAATTATTTGATGTTTGATTTTTACTTTTTGAAAACATAAATAATAACTTATTATGCTGATTTTTAAATTAATAAAACCTCAACTAATAAATATTTATAAGAAAGTTATGCTCGCAAGTGCGGGCAAAACACCTAATATATATATATATATATATATATATATATTTATTGTGTATTAATTTCCATGAAAAATACATACCACGTCTGCCTCGACGAGTTGGAGAACAAGAAGAGATATGAGAAGAGAAACAATAAAAGCTTTTGAAATTGCCATAACTCTCCGATGAGATGATTATAATATGATCAAAGTTATTAGATAATTTGTTTTTGAGTTGTGTCTAATGAGAACTTGGAGACCTTGTATTTATAGCCCTTCTTTCGATGGACAGCCGATCCCCAATACTTTAGTATCTAGATCATTCGGTTAATCTTATATTTTATATATTTCTTTTAGTTTAGAAGAATATATTTTGTAATTTTCTTTAGAGGTAAGATAAATAACAATATGGCTGTAACTGGTCAACATAATCTGGAGTCAATAGAAGAAAAAGGAATGAAGTTAGATGAATAGAATATTGGAATAATTCTATTCCATTTATTCCTGATCAAAATTAGAATGAAATAATTTCTTTGATCTTTGTTCATTTTTTTGTGAAGTTGAATGAACATTTTATTTCATTCATTACAAACGGTAAATTCTGTATAGAGTCAATGGAATAAAATATTCCTCATTATTTCATTGTAAAAATTGACTCTAATTGCAATATATACTAGAATTTAACCTTCAAGTCCATGCGGATATTTGTTTTTATTTAGTATACACGAATATATGTTTTACATGAATAATAGTAAATAAAATAACAGTAATCATATAAAATTGTTGACTCAGTCATTTCCAATTAATAATTTTATAATTTGCATTTTGTAAATATAATTTACTTGTATCAAATTTTTATTTTGTATTTCTCGTTTTCTATAAACATAACTTTTCTTTTAGTAAACTTGTATACTAATGAAGCAGAATTTAAAAAACATATAATTTTAAGAAATGGTGCTTAGTGTTTTTTGTGAGATCCACTGACAAAAAGTAGTAAGCATCCTCTTTAATGATGCTCTTACTATCCATGATCTATTATATACCACTAGTCATTTATTTTGTGTTTAGACGAACCTACATGATACTCATTTACTATTTTCTATGGTATGGGTTCTGTGGATCAAATTTATGAATATCCGAACAAATATCGATGCTAACAAAATATCGTCTACAAATAAAATCCGATCTACGGATCGTATTACACAAATAACATAAAATCCCCTGAAAATATACATGTGTTGTGCTTTAAATTTATACAGAAAATTGAGAGCACCTTAATGATATCCAGTCAGTCCAGTTGTTAAATATCATTTCAAAAACAGCCGATCATTGAAGAAAAGCATTTAAATTAATCATCCGTAAAGCAACATAACTTTATTTAGAAAATTGAAACAAGACAACGAGATTATTCACGTTGAAACCACATATATGCCAACAATTACTGACAAACAAAATGAAATAGTCTTGCTATTGAACAACCGCAGCAGTTTGAGAGTTTTTAGTTTACTTAAGGGCACTTGCGGCGACCACCGTGGGTGGTTTGGTTGGCGTAGCACGCACACTTGTCGTAGTTTCCGTACGTGCCCGGTGGCACACAGTTGCACCTGGCGCAGCAAGTCCCACATGCTCTGTGACAAAGGTTCGGTCTGCTTGAGAGTCTGCACCGTGCTATACACGCACTTCCACAATCTACAAAAATTAACGTTAGTAATTAGACTCTTAATATAAAACTTACATGTAAATTATGTCTGTGTGCGCATATAAAGCTAATATAATTACCAATTTTACTGCTAGAATCATTCTTTTCGTTTGAGATTTCCTGAACGGATATTTGAAAAAGGATAAATATAAGAAGTATGTTTAGTCAAATAAATAGATATATATTATGGATTTGCCATGAAAAATACGTACCACGTCTGCTTCGACGAGTTGGAGAACAAGAAGAGATATGAGAAGGGAAGCAATAAAAACTTTTGAAATTGCCATAACTCTCTAATAAGATAATTATAATATGATCAGAGTTATCAGATAATTTGTTTTTGAGTTGTGTCTAATGAGAACTTGGAGGCCTTGTATTTATAGCCCTTCTTTCGATGGACAGCCAACTCCAATACTTTAGTATCTAGACCATCTGTTAATCTTAAATTTTATTTATTTCTTTTAATTTAAATTTAGAAGAAAATATTTTGTAATTTGCTTTGGAGGTAAGATAAATAACAATCTGGCTGTAACTGGTCAACATAATCTGGAATCAATAAAAGAAAAAATGAAGGAAATTAGAGGAATAGAATATTGGAATAATTCCATTCCATTTATTCCTGATCAAAATNTAAATTTAGAAGAAAATATTTTGTAATTTGCTTTGGAGGTAAGATAAATAACAATCTGGCTGTAACTGGTCAACATAATCTGGAATCAATAAAAGAAAAAATGAAGGAAATTAGAGGAATAGAATATTGGAATAATTCCATTCCATTTATTCCTGATCAAAATTTGAATGAAATAATTTCTTTGATCTTTGTTCATTTTATTGTGAAGTTGAATGAACATTCTATTTCATTCATTCCAAATGGTAAATTCTTTTATAGAGTGAATGGAATAAAATATTCCTCATTATTTCATTGTAAAAATTGATTCTAGTTACAACCTATACTATAATTTAACAGACATTCCCGTGCGGGTATTTGTTTTTATTTAGTATACACGAATATATGTTTTACATGAATAATGGTAACTAAAGTAACAATAATCATATAAAACTGTAGACTCAGTAATTTCCAAACATAATAATTTTATAATTTGCATTTGTAAATATAATTTACTTGTATTAAAATTTTATTTTGTATTTCTCTTTTCTATAAACATAACTTTTAGTAATCTTGTCTACTAATGAAGCAGAATTTAAAAAAAAAACATATAATATGCTATGTTTTTGTTTTCCTTTTTATGTGAGTAAAATTTCGCTTCATTTATAAATAACTAATCTACCATATATAAGCAAATGAACAACAACAAAAAAAACAACAACAATATGGATCAATATTTTAATATGCTTGTAGTATATAGTGTTAGTATGTTAACTATTTGAAATAGTCAAAAAAATAAATATTTTTAACAATCGTAAGTTGTATAGTTTTCATTCAATTATATATATTTAGAATTTTACAAGGAATAGATTATTAAAAATTGAATATTTGTACATAACTATTACATTTTAAATTTTAATATTTTATTTTTATAATTAAACATATGTATTTTTATTATTAAACATATGCTAAGTTTACATGTGATTTTAGTATGGATTTTTTATTTAGGTTATTAAACATAAGTTACAACTACATATGATTTTGATTTTATTATATGCTTTTAATATGTATTTTTGTATATAAAAAGGACCTTTAAATCAATGTTTTAAATCGAAATTTTGTTCGGTAAATATTACTTACTATAACAGTTTCAAAATATTTAAATCAATCAGTGTTTTGATTTTAAAGTTGATGAGACTGAGACAAGAAGGATGAGGAGATGTTGACGTGAGAGGTCCTTTTTAGAATCATCATTTCACTGCTTGAACTTCTTCGGAGTTATGTTGACGTGAGAGGTCCTTTTTATATGGATATATATTTTAAACAACACTAAATAAACTAAAACTGTGATTGACAAATTCTAGAATAAATGAAAGTAATAAAAATGGAGTAAATGTTGTAGAGTAAATGAAATATATAAATGAATAATAAACTATAAAAAGTAGCGTAACTGATATCCCACTTCAAAACCAAAGAGAAAAATACGACGTGTTTTACCTTCATTTGAGCTATCAGTGACTTACAGCTAAAAATAAGTTTATGAGCTGAAAGTGGAGTAGCATATTTTTAGCGAGAACATTAACGCTATCAGTGACTTACAGTCACACCTTAATACTCTCCCAGCATTTACTCTACTTTAACTATTCTCATTTACTCTGCCATTTGCCAATCACACTCATCAACAAACATACATCAGCAAGAGGCATCAACATTTAAAAACGCTCTTCTCTCTCTCAGCAAACGTCAACTACAAACGCTCTCTCTCTCTTTCTCTCAATTCCATTAAAACTGCAGTTGGGTTGGTACGGGCACTCAAAAACGCTCCACTGATTCCTCAGATATGGAGATTTTCGTGAAGGCCCTTAAAGAAAGAGAAGAAGTTATTGAATCTTTGTATAAAAACCAGAAGATTCTCGTAGATAGAATCAAGACGCAACACGAACGTTGGCTCTCTGATATTCAAAACTACGAGGAGAAACTCTCTCAGGTAACAAACAAACAAACAAAAAAAACTTCTAGCTTTTTCACTCTTGGAGATGTTCTGTACTAACGAACTCTTATCCTCTTGGTTTATCCAGAAGGAAGGCGAAATCGAAACGTTGGAGATGACTAGGTTGGTTGAGAAAGCTCGTAATGATCAGTTGCTTGTGTTGAAAGAAAAAAATCATTCTCTCTGTAAAGAGAAATTAGGTTAGAGACAACAAACTCTTGCTTCCTTGTGCTTATTGATGTGATAATAGTTGTTGGCTCCTTTATGAAATTAAGCATGTTTTTTTTTTCAGACCAAACTGAGGATGTGTTAGATGAGTTCAAAGCTTGGATTGATATCTTCACTTCGAATCAAAGTGTATGTGAATGTTTCTATTTTTTTTTGTCTTTTTAAAAAAAAAAATGTAATAGATATTTAGAGATTTTTTTTTTCTATACCATGCAGAAGGAAGTTTGCACCAACTCTGAAGATACAGATGAATGTAGATTACTGGAAGCCAAGATCAAGAAACAGAAACGTGATTTTGCTAAGCTTGCTTTTGGAAAGACAGGTGAGGTCTCTTCTCTTGAAACTAGGTTTGCGTGGAGTGAATTCAAACGTATCGAAGGTGGGTTCACAGAGAAGTTAGTGAGGAAAGAAGAGGAGATCAAAGAAGCTAATATGAGTATCTCAAGCCTCCAAGAGCAGCTTCAAGCGTCTAATCATGAGAAGGGTAGGCTTATGTCTAGAGTAGCTGAGTTAGAAGACAATGCTAGTAAAAAAAAGGTTGGGAAAATTTTAAGACTCACACATGACGTTAAGACATTAAGGAGGTCTGCTAGGCTAAGAGCGATGCAGAAATAGTAACAATAGGAACCCTTGTTGACTTAGAAAGAGCTCTCTGCTACAATATTAAGTAGAAGCCATAAAAGACTTCTTTAACAATGCTAACCACAAATCAACCTATTAGGAGATGGGAGCATGATCAGCTAGAAAATAATAGCAATTAAAAGTTGTTTTTTCTGTAATTTGGGTTTGGTAACTGTGAGTCTGTGACTAATATCGAAACGTGCCACAACGAAATGATTAATATTGGAGGATGTGACTAGTCATCGAAATGTGCCAGAACAAAATGGATGATTAATGTTAATTCAGAGTTCGAGGTATCCCTATATATTAAAAGACGAACATTTTAACTTTTTTTTTTTTTAACAACTGACAAACATTTGAACTAGTGGTTTATTAAAATGCTTTTCCAAAAATCTAAAGAAAAATATTGATTCACATAAATGTATAATGTATTTTTAATTAAATTAATAATAAATTATTATTAATATTTTTATTATTTTTTAAAAATAAAATTATGAAATTACCTAATATGATTCTATATATTACAATTAATGATTTGAGAACCATCTATTCTTATGTCAAATTTATATTATGAAAATAAATTAAACAGTTACAGTAATTATATAATACAACAAATTAGATTTTTGTATACTATATATTTTGAATTATTACAAGTTACTATAATTTAATAAAACTTTAAAAATTTAATATATAATTTTTATTAATATTTTTATCATAATAAGATACAAATGATTATACAATCAATGAGCATGAAGTATCTTTTAAAATTCTAACCATATGAAAACACCAAATTTGCATTGAAAAAGTATTGGAAATTTAATACTTTAGTTTTAAACTTTGAATTATTTTTTTTAAATGATTATAATTTACTAAAAATATTAAACATATCATATCAGGAATTATGTTATCAATGGTTCAAAATTTTGTTACCAATGATTTAAAAAATTTGTTATAAATAATATAAGTGATCATAAAATTATATAAGTACTAAGCTTTATTTAATAGTATACAGATAAAAAATATACTATATATATATATATGATAATATCATTTATTTTCTAGTTTTACTTACGTAAAGTGACTATAAATAAACAAATGTGGTTTTTTAAATTTATGTCAGCACACTAATTTAATTATATACATAATATTTACTAATCTTCTTCAATTATTCAATATATATCTATATGTTTATTATTTAATAATATGTAAAACACAATAGAAATAATAATAGAAAAATATCTTTTATATACAATTCTCATTCCATGTAATGCGCAGATCTTAACCTAATTTTTTTTAAAATGATAAATATATTATTAAAATTTTGATGTTAAAATAATTCAAAATTTAGTTTTAATGAACTTGCCATTCTATAAAAAAATTCTGAAATTCACGATTATTAAACATATTTAAGTTATAAACTTTAGAGTGTTTTAAGTGTTTTAAAAGAGTTTCTTAGTTATTAAAATTTTTTAAAAAAACAACAAATCTCATAGTTCTAGTATGAGGCTAGAGAATTGTTTAACAAAGATTACACCAAAATCTTAGATTCAATATTGCAAGTAGCACTGCAAATGAATAAGGCCACATGGTGAAATTATATACTTGGCCGGATTAATAGAAATTTTGAATGGCTGATCTTGTAGATAAAATAGTGTAAGCCCATATGAAATTAAACTTGTAATAGCCGTCTTAATCACATTACCGTATCCCAAAACCCAAATCTCTACATGTCCGCCTTTAAAAAACCTTCTGTCCCCGTAATCTCTACATAGGTGATTCAAACTGCCCGTGATCTTATTTTATTTTATTTTTTGATTGTTTGGTTTATGTTGCTTAATTATACTTCGTTCTCTTTTTATTTCTCTACAAAATCATTTTTTATCTTCTTATTAATTTGGATTCAAGTGATGAGATTGGATCTAAAATTCTCATGACGGTCATCTGATTCTAATGATGCACCCATCCTTAGAGCATGTGCAATGGGAAATCTTTAGGGGAGTCTTTAGGAAAAAAATAAAAAAAAGGTATTTCAGATTATATAAAGATATTTCAGATTTTGAAAAAATAAAAAATAAACCGACCACTCACGGACCGCCACGTGTGCAGTGGAGCCCATGAATAGTGTAAGGATCAATCCTTACATAAGGATTTTTAGAATAAAATCCTTAACTATTCATGGGACCCAATGATTATAAAATTAATATTTTTCTAAAGACTCCCCTAAAGATTTCTCATTGCACATGGTCTTATACTCTGATGATCAAATACATTCCTTAAATTTTACATCCTTCTTTTAAAGTACACTTTGATTTATATATTTTGTTAGTTTTTGTATAAAACCATCATTATACCTAACACATACTTTTAAATTAATTATTTATTGGAGAACTCTGCCGCAACGGAGGAAATTATCCGGTATCGGCAATTCATCTCTAGTCGGAATATTCCTAGGATCTTCTTCTCCGTCACCTTTAACTCTAAAGTAAAGCTCTTCACCAAGATACCATTGCTCTGCCTTCTGTGATCTCACGTTCCACATCCCTTGATTATCCATCGCTATCAATATCGCCACCCACGAATACGGAAAAACCTATAACCAAATACAAATTAATTAAATCACAACTAACAAAAATTAATCAAAGTTAATTAAACCTGAATTGTAGACCGAGAAACAGCGTCCACTAAGTTATAACCAGCTCTTTTGCTTTCAGACCAACCTCCAAACCCCATTCTAACACATTATAATAAAATCTTGTTAATCTTGTCATTAAAACATGATTAGTATTACGTTTGATTTTTTTTTTATTACCCGACAACCCAGAAGTTGTGACCGTCGATGTGCCAGCTCTGCGATTCATCAAGTGGATTCTCGAAAACTATGTGGACAAAGTCTCTGTAACGTATATCAACCACTGATGTTCCGAAACGTGGCGTTTTGTGTGAAGGATAAGTAGGGAACATGTCGGGGATTATCGTGTTTTTTAGTTGGAAGTGATCGACGAGCTTTAACGGCGTTTCCGGGAAGACAAAGGAAACACCGTTAACAGTGTAACGTAATCTGTTCGACGATGACATAACGTCGTTTTGTAAGATTATTGTTCTGCTCACGTTTACGCGTCCGTAGTGGTATGAGCCTTGCGGGTTCGTTCTTGCTGCTCCAACGGCTAGGTCCTCTCTGTGTCACAGTTACCTCTTATTTCATCATGTAATCAAAATATTCGTAAATAACATGGGAAAATGAAACGTTGATAATATGTGTATTTATAACAACATAAATTATTATTTTGGGTGTGAAAACACGAAAATTATTGTATTATTCTGGTTATGTTTCTAGCATATGGTGAATACTCACAATATACTCTCTGCATACTATTAAAAAGGATAACGTTTTAAATATTTTACAAAAGATTTTTCTTTTTTTAATATATTATATTGTATTTGAAATATTTTGATGTTTTAAGTTTTAATTAACGCATTTTTAAACTAGAGCATAATTTATATATAAATATATAAGTGTGAGTGGTGTTATTAATTAGTTAACAGTTTTTTCTTTAAAAAGCATCAAAACAACACCAAAAAATAATAAACAAAATAATTACTATGTTTTTTATATATTTGAATAATCTAAAACATCATTAAAATAAGGAGGGAGCAGTTTTTGATTACCTAATGGATAGGGCTTGTCGAACGGAGGAGGCGTAATCCCACGATTCAGGTGCAGCGGGAACTGGTCCGACCGGATCAATGGGGGAGTTGGGATATCGGATTAAAGCTAAACCGGTCATGTAAGAACTACTGAACCGGGTTGAGGCGAAAATGTAGTAGGAGCGGCGACTTCCAACCGGATCGGTTTTAGCCGTGACGAGAACGGAATATGATTGGCCAACATGGATGTCCAAGTTGGACAAGGTACGTTTCTGAACATACGAACCCTCTGTCTCAACCAGGAGCATATCATGGTCCTGAATCCTGAAGTTTAAGGATGTCTTGAGACCCACGTTTGAAATTCTCAGCCTATATGTTTTGCCTGTTATTATGCACAAAATCAAGACGTAACGTTTGTGTATTGTTTGAGATAATAATATGATTTAATGTGACGTTATACCTGGTTGAAATTCAAAGAAGGCTTCTTCGGGTCCATGCCCATTAAAAAGAATACCATCAGGAGCTGCTAAACTGAGACCATTGTCAAGTGAAGCTCTCATACCCTTCACCAAACCATTAGGAAAAAAAAAAACTAAAACGAGTGCATGTAACAAATATGCATGTAGAATAACATCATTTGACAAAATACCTATAAGGCAAGAATAAAAAATGAAATTTACCCTATAGTCAGTATAGAACCAATCTCCGATCAAGATGTCAAACTCGCCATCAGGCTGAGGAAATGGAACCGGGACAAGTTCTGGACTGTAGACTCTAATTGAACCGTATCCTCCGGCCGCCTTTTGGAACAAGAGTGTCGGGAAGTAAAAGTAACTTCCGATCTGATCCTTTATCTGAAACCGGTACGTCCAATTTGTTCCCGGAAGTATGGGACAGTTTGTTCCTCGAACTCCGTCTTGCCATGAGTTTTTCCTCATTTGCAACCCATTCCTATGATTTACATGCATTTCTTTGATTAACGATTTTATAATTAGAATAACAAAATACATACGTAGCTGATCACTGATATATTGGAAATTAAATAGATGCAAAAAAATATTTAATGTAAAGATACGTAAAAATCAATATGAAAATATTACCAGGTCATGAGAAAAGGTTCGGTCAGATGGTTGAAAATGTTGACGTTTACTACATCGCCTGCTGTTGCCTTAAGGATCGGTCCAGGAAACATGTCGTTGATGACTATGACCTATTGATTCATCATATTATAATTAATGGTTTGATTGGAAAACTATAGTTTTAGCATTTGAATAAACAAACATATGTGGAGTTATTAGTGGAACCTGCTTGTTGGCTCCGAGGATGGAACGTTCCGAATAAGAGACGACCCATTCATACGAAACAGAAGGTGCCATGGCATTGCTCAACTCCAAGACGACCAAAGAGATCAGAAGCAACACACCAACTACTACATTATACCTCATCACGAACAAAAAGTTAAAGAAATAGAAAAAAAACTTTTTAAAATGCGTGTATATAGAGCTTCTCTCGTGTACTATTATGAATATTGAATATGATCGGAAGGAAGGGTAATTATTTCATGCAATATCTATTTTCAACCTAATACCAGACTTTATGATAAACATATGTTCACGTTATATGTACCTGTTCAAAAATTCTGATATCACACGGGTATATGGAAGTTTCAGTTTGCTTTTTATAAAGTTCGGAATGTAAATCCCATGTAAATTGTGTGCGTCTCCCTCTGCACAACACACTGATATAAATTTATGGGCAGCATATTTGTACGCTCTTGATCAAACTCTTGCCTCATTTATTATAATACCAAACTCCTTAAAGGGGCATTACAGTTGTACACATATAGATGATAGAGCCATTGTAAAGTTTTATTGTATGTGACAGACGATAAGAAACAAATTGTACGTGAAGGAAGGGGATCGCTTACGATATATTGTAAATTGCATGTGACCTGTCTGATAGCAAAATAACAAAGTGGTCTCGCTTAGACCCACAAAATAAATAACTTAGTAAGGCAGTTATTGAAAAAATATTTGTCACTTTTACTAATTTCTTTCACCACTCACATGAGTGTTTGGAACTCAGATTTAAACATGCTGCGCAGTTACATTCATGTAAGAATAAGTGTATTTGAGTCAATTTTCTGATATATTCTTGAGGGAATAACAGAATTATGAAAGCGCTTAAGCATCACTGTGAATAATATAAACTAGTATACTCATATATCAAAGTTGGAGTTTGTTTAAAAAGAAAAAAAAAAGTTGGAGTTTGTTTAAATGAGAAATGTTTATCCATTCTTTATCACTTTTACTAGCTTCTTTTACCTCTTACAGTTCACACCACGTTTTAAAACAGTTTAAAGTGACATATTTTAACACTTTGACATAAAATATTTAGCAGATGATTTTTTTTCTTTTAAATTTATATTGTTGCAATTGATCAATCAATCACAAAGATAGTGTATATGGATTCTCCATTATAATTAAAAGGGCTCGCGACTGTCATGAAAGACGTTGAAACGTCCACTAGTGGTACCTAGCTGTTCGGAAAATAAGATGAAGATTTTATATTATATGGTATTAGACCATGAAGTTGGTCATCATTTTGTACAAGTATTAGACTCTTCATTATTGTTAGTTCCAAACATTCGTCTACGCGCATTGCAATGAAAACACATATTTCTCTATTGCAATTCCTGTAAGTGAACTATGTAACCTATAGATAAATCTTTAGTAATACTGTGTTTGCACGTCTATATCGTTATAAATCCTAACTAGATTTTGAACCCGCACATCCGTGCGGGTATTTTTTTATTTTATAAAAATATAACAAACTTTTTCAAATATATATGATTTATATTCTATTGTTATATATTGTATAATTGTATAATTTTAATTATTTTTATATAATATATTGTTGTAAGTTTTAAAATAAAAAAAATATTTATATATAATTTATTATATACTGTATTTGTTGTGAGTTACAAAAATATATGTTAATATTTTTTGTAAAAAAAAATGTTCTATGATTTAAAAACTTTAATATGTTTTAAAAGGGAGTGATATATATTTATTTATTTGAATAAAAGAAAATTTTTAAAACAAAATATTTTCCTTTTACCAATTTAATATATTTTATATTCATTTCACATAGTATTTTATTTTAATATAATATAGAATATAACTAAATTATAAAATATAACAATTTTTATTTTAATTAACAGTAATATAGTTATTTATATATATTAATCACGAAATTAAATAATGCATATTTTATAAAAATATTTAAACTTCTTAGTAAGATCTTGTTAGATATTTTCTCAACAAATTTATTATTAATATCTTATTAATTATTAAAATATTCTTCCAATTATATATATTTGATTGATTAGTATAAATAATCAAATATATCAATGAAATGGTCCAACATAACTCTTTTGTAGTAGATTTAAATGGTACTTCTCTTTTAATAGAGAAGATTGGGTAATTATTCAGTAAAGTTAAAAGAATTCTTGAAAAACAAAATTCACTTTAAGTTTTGTAGATATTTTTAATTTAAAAGTGGAGGTCAAAAGGTAGTTGGATATCTTCGTTGAAAAACATCATTCAACCTCTAACAAATAAATAGTACTAGTAAATTAGTAAATTTGACCCAGAAAAAAGTAAATTAGTAATGTAACCATTTTCAAACCAGACCTTAGACCAGTCCATTATCGTATCTCTAATAATGAACTTATAAGCTCAAGATAAACTAACCATTTCCAACCCAGACCTTAGACCAATCCATTATCGTATATTTCTAATAATGAACTACTAGCTCAACATAAACTATGTAAAATCATTTTTTGTCTTTTATACATCTTGGTCTCAACGGTTAAAATCTACAACCCAATTAGGTACAACCACGTAAGCAGGCGTACATTAAGCCACCAAACCTTGACACACATGTGATTTCTACCAACAGAGAAGAAAGGCAACAGGGAATATGCTTCTTCTATAAATCATACATCATCTCCATCTCTTTTCTCCCCCTGAGAATCCTCCTTTTAATAAGTGTCTTTGTTATATAGTATTAAAAAAATAAAACAAGAAGAAGAAAGTTTCTTCTTCTTCTTTCAATCCAATGGCTCTAACGTTGCCATTGATCTTCCTCTTGTTATCCCACTTCTACTTCCCCGGTATGAATCTTTTCCGACACAATGATTATTAATTAGTTTTACTTTTAATGTAACTGTGTAATAATTTTTGACTTACGTTTTGGTTATTAACAGGGACTGAATCAACCAGCTTTGTTATGGTGAACAAATGTGAATACACAGTCTGGCCGGGACTTTTATCCAACGCCGGAGTTCCTCCCCTTCCGACGACCGGTTTCATCCTCCAAAAAGGCGAAGAGCGAACCATCAACGCTCCAGCCTCATGGGGCGGTCGTTTCTGGGGGAGAACACTCTGTTCCACCGACACTGACGGTAAATTCTCCTGCGCCACGGGAGACTGCGGCTCCGGAACACTAGAATGCTCCGGCTCCGGAGCCACTCCACCCGCGACGCTAGCTGAGTTCACACTCGACGGATCAGGAGGTCTAGATTTCTACGATGTCAGCCTAGTGGACGGGTACAACGTTCCCATGCTCGTAGTCCCTCAGGGAGGATCAGGACAGAACTGTAGCAGCACAGGTTGTGTCGTGGATCTGAACGGTTCGTGTCCTTCGGAGCTGAAGGTGACGAGTGTAGACGGTGTGAAACTGTCTATGGGTTGTAAAAGCGCGTGCGAAGCGTTTAGGACGCCGGAGTATTGCTGTAGCGGCGCGTTTGGGACGCCTGATAAGTGTCAGCCGTCGTCTTACTCGTTGATGTTCAAGAACGCGTGTCCACGTGCTTACAGCTACGCTTACGATGATCAGAGCAGTACCTTCACATGCGCTAAATCTCCTAACTACGTCATCACCTTTTGTCCGTCTCCGAACACAAGGTAAAATTCCGTTTATACCCTTCTTCTGCTAATGCTTCTCATTACTTGGAGAGGGTATTTTCGTCAAAGTGCAACCGACAATTCACATTATTATCTCCACTGTTGCACCATTAAACATGAATTAGTAGTGTCTATGATTAAGGTTAGGTGAGAGTAGGAGGGTAATTACGTCAAAAATGCAACATACATCATACTTTTACTACATTCACATTGCATAACCTTTTACTTACCGTACAAATGAAGTCACTTTGGTTGTTTCGTTAGATTGTTTGTCTTTGTCATTTATTATAACTGGAGATAATAAGAATCTACAGCTAGTTGCTTTTTACTGCAAAAAGTAATGAGATGTGTTCATTACGATTTATTGGGATGTGGATACGTAACGGTCCACCCAAGTACCAAGGGGGACGCGTGACAGAAGCACTTATTATATACACCTAACGTCTACGTTTTTGTATATTTTTACACGTTGCAGTCAAAAATCATCTCAAGATCAGAGCTCAGATGAGAAACCGATGACACCACCAGGGACGTCGACAACTCCTAGCGGAGACAGTAGGACGTGGTCACCGGTAGATATGATATACGAAGGAGCTCTGGATCAGAGCAAAGCATCACCGTCCACGTCTCATCTTTCATTATGTGGAATCACAGTCACACTTGCGCTGGCATTTTGTCGGATGTGGTGGCTCTTTTGACCTAACATTTGTCTCCCACAGTAAACACTTAATCAGGACGATGTGGGTCCTCGTTAAAGTCTTATCTCTTCCCCGGCTCATGTGTCTTTTTCCTTAGAACGACGTCAGATTGAGTCAGAGTTGAAAAAAGTTCCTTACCCGAAATTACAACAGTACTAATCACGGGAGGATTCTTATTTTGTGGTGAGGAACACGTGGGGAAAAAAAAGTGGGCTGCTTGTGGAGGTCAAAAAAGATGGGAATGATAATTGTAAGGTCACAGAATATTTGTTTTAATTTTTAGTATGATTAGGATTAGAATATAATGTACACTATAAAGTTAATCTATTAGTTTTAAATGGGGGGAATAATTCATTTGTTTGTTATCTAATGCTGCGTTGGCCATTTGAAACATGGAAATGCATAATAATGCGATAACATGATTTTGTTCTTGTCTTAACCGTTTGACTTTACAGGTGCATGAGAGCCATCAGATTCTCTCCAGAAAAAGTAATGTTCAAAAACATTATTAGAGCATCTTTAACCACAAAACCTCTTTTGGGGTGCTTAAGTTTTTTTATTTTTGATTTAAAAAAAAAATTAAAAAACGGACCAATCGTGGGTTGCCACTTATGCGTGGGACCCATGAACAGTCCAACCATTCAGCAAAAACCAGTGCTTGTTTTAGCTATTTTGCAACTGGATTTTGTCTTCTTTGTGGGCCCTCCTACCTTAAGCAACCCATTAAACACCTGGGTTAATGATGGTCTTAGTGGCAATTGGTAACCACTTGCTGAAAAAGATTAGATAGATAAGATAAATTAAGGGCGAGTTGATGAGGATGCCTTTGATAGTGGAAGTGAACCTATATATAATATATAACCAAGTGTCTATTTCACTGCATATGATTCGTCAAATTAATATCCACACGAATTAGCAGCCATCATGGAACATGCTTTATTAATCTCATTTTAGTAATGAATCACAAAATATAAAAGACAATTCTACAATCACTAAAGCTATATGTTTTATGAAAATTTTATCTAGTGGTTCTACTTGACCACCAAAGCGTTCTATAAGGATCAATGCATATGATTCTATCTTTTTGTTAACGTTTCTATTTATACCAGTCTTTATACTATGCTTAACACATCATCTTCATCTTGAAACATGAATGAATTGATCCACTATAAAACCTAAAGCCCATTAAAGACCCACTATAAACCATTATCAAAGCCCATGAGAAAGTTTTGAAAAGAGAATTTATTTTTATGCGTGCGTATCAAACTGGACCACCAAACGTTAGGACAAGATTTTGTCGACAACGACATGCGTGAATGTCATAGGACTCAATAAATGTAGTGCCATACAAGTCTCGCGATGTCGCTCCCTTTGACAATCCACTCCCCTTCAAACGCTGTCGTTCTCACGAAGGCTACCAACCAAACTCTTCTCTCACTAGACATGCACCACTAAAAAGCATGGGACCTCACAAGGGCGTTTTCGTAATTTAAAATCTCCTTAAAAAAAACGATTACGTCTAGAGAGAGAGAGAGAGAGAGAGAGAGAGAGAGAGACCACAACTTCCACGGCGAAGAAGAAGAAGAAGAAGAAGAAGAGAAACTCTTTTATCTCATCGTCTCTATCTCTATGTGTCTAATGGCGTTATCTGATGCGGTTCTTGGGAATCTTGCGACGATCTACGTGGCGGTGATCATAGCGATCAAAGTCTATGGATTAATCTCCGGTCAGAGCTTCAGCGCAGGGTTTGTAGTCGTCCTCTCGATAACGACGGTTGGTGTTTTGCTCGCGGTCACGCTCGCTTGGGACGTGTCTCGTAGAGCCGCTGATGCGGTTTCTCGGTACAACCGCGTTGTAGCCGGAGAGGATCTAAGAAGCCACCGTCATAGTCACGACGGTGGTGGTGGAATTTGTAAAGGAGGGATTTGTTGGCACGGTGTTGCGGTTAGGTCACCGGCTTCTCAGGTTCGGTTTAGGCTTCCACAACATATACCGTACGGAGCGTTTTGAGTACATAAAAGGTTGTATAGATTATATTATGTTTTTTTTTTTTGTATAATAGGAGTGATGAGGATATGGTATTGTTGTGAAGTTGAGAGTTTTTTTTTGGTTTTGTATTTGATAATGTTGTAATTTCTTATAGTTGTGATGATTATATTATGAATTTTCTTGTTTTTTGATGATATCGATTTTGAGCAATAAAGTTTGAGAGCTTTTTTTGGGGAATTTAAGATTGTTTTGTGAGAAGTGGATTGTAACTTTGTAAGTTGTCTCAGTTTTGTATCTTGTTAATAGAGGTTGAAGTCTCATGTTAATAAGCATAACCATTTTGTTTTTTTTTTTTTTTTTGTAACTTTGTTAGTTTCTTTAGTTGATACAGGTTTTTTGCTTCATAGGCAGCTACTAATGATCCTTCAAGTGATTGATTCTAGATTTATGAGTTTACATTTGGTGTTTTAATTTCTTTGGACATTGTTATGCGGACCAAGAAAACTAAATTGGTTTACAGAGTAACTCTCTGTTTATTGGCTAGTCTGGTTTGTATTGTTAAACAAGAAAAGTTATTAATGCATGCACCAATCGCTTATTTCTCCAACATGATAAAGTTAAAATTAGAGAAGACCTTGATGAATAGGCATGGGCAGCGGTTTTGTATTGTTGTAAAGAATAGCCAAGCTCTCAAATTCTGTTGTTTCAGACAGAACTTGGTCTGAAAGAAGAAATAGACATCAATAAGGTATACTGATTACATTACAAACTACGAATAGACAATAGAATATACAAATCTAAACACAACAATTATACATTAAAGAAGTGTTTTCAAACCATAGGAACAACACCAAAAAACAGTTATCACCAACCATTAGACATCTTATTTTCCATTACTCTTGATTGGTTCAGAACGCGATCAAGTTAGTCACGGACTTGGGAGGGTTAGTGACCATGTGCACAACTTCCCTCAACGTAGGCCTTGTCCCAGCCTCCTCCACACACAACAACAACATAATCTTGAAGACATGAATCACACTGGTCAACAATGGCAACAACAGTAGCTGCATCCGACGTTTGTTGCATTAGTGTAGAGTTGGAAGAGGTTTCAAGTAAACTATTGTTGCCATTTGCTTGGATCGCAAGAAAAAAGAACTCCACTCATATATGTTACCGGTCTATAATCTTCTTTACGAAACCTTTTTCTGGTTGTAAACGACATACGTATATATGGTTTTAGCAATCTAGCATTAACATGTAGCTTATTAACACCCATATAATGTGATTTTTTTCTTTCTTCTAATCGAACTTAACCACATAAGGGAAACAAAACTGAAATAGAAATATACATTGTACAAGAATTGTATGGGAGATCTCGAAAATATTCCTTAAATTCGACAGGCTTTGATGGTTCATTATAGTTGCTCCACAAAATGCATACCTTACTCCTTTTATTACTTTTCTTGACTCATGGTTCAGAAATCAGTATTTCTTCATAAATATTGTCTATTATTAGCCACTTACAATGTAATAATTGTCTCCTATGATCTAAATGAATGTATGGTGTTTCTTTTGTAGGGTTAAACTTTATTGCAGGATTAAAATTAAAAGACTAAAGTAACCCTCATGTCATTATAAATAGAGATTCATTTTAGGCTTAATGCATCCCACACTACGCATACATTTCTTTTTTTAAAAAATTAAAAAGTAAAAAAAAAACACAGCATGGCTAAGTTTGCTTCCATCATCACCCTCATCTCCGCTGCCCTCGTTCTCTTTGCTGTGTTTGGTAAGAATTGACCTTATCATATACATGACAAATTAAATTATTTTATTCGATAATTAACGATAATATATAAAATATAGAAGCACCAACAAGGGTGGAAGGGCAGGAGTTATGCAGGAAGCCGAGTGGGACATGGTCAGGACTCTGTGCAAACAGTGATGGGTGCAGGAAACAGTGCATCGATCTAGAGAAAGCACGAGATGGTGCTTGCAAATATGAATTCCCAGCTCACAAGTGTTTCTGCTACTACCCATGTTAATCTACCAAAATCTTTGGTGCTCATAGCTAGAACTTCCACTTTGTGAATCTCCCACTTACAAAAACTATTAATATAATTATATATAAACAGGTAATTGTAAATTCAATTTATGTTATCATAATTAACTAGATAAATGTCACAGCAAAATTTAAACAAAGAAAAAATATTTTTGCTGCCACAAAAATCTATAATTTTCAAATTTCTTATAAAAATAAATAAATATTTCTATAATATAGAAATTAGTAAAGATGTTTTAGTTAAAAAAAAAGGCAATTCTTTTTTAACAGGACTCCATATTTGTAGGTGCTTGTATGTTTATGTATATTATTTTGGGTGTTTAGCTACATCCAGTAAGTGTGTGTCACTCTGTGAGTAACTTTTTTTGGCATGTCCCATATATATTTATGTAGGTTTTCTGTAATAATATAAACTTTTATGTGCTATTACTGTTTCATTTAGTCTACACGACAATTATTGGAAACAAAGGTCGAGACATATCATTGTCTAGTAGTAATAATAATAACAAAAAAATAAGACTTATTCTTGGGTTCACCTTAGGGAGTGAACCTCTAGGTTCACCATCCAATAGAATTGCATCATTTTATTTGATATCTTTTTAAAAAGGAAATAAAATCTTATTAAGTTATATTGTGTGTTTTAAATATAAAAATACAAAAAAAAAATTATTAAGAAAAACGAAAAATAATTATTTTTAAAAAAATATATTTTAACATTAAACTCTAAAGTCTAATCTTAGGTAAATCACAAACCTTTGGATAAATCTATAAATTTAGTGTTTATGATTTACCCAAGGGTTTAGGGTTTAGGATTAGAGTTTAGGGTTTAGGATTAGAATTTAGGGTTTAGTGTTTATGATTTACCCGAGGGTTTAGGGTTTAAGATTAGAGTTTAGGGTTTAGTGAAAAGATTTTTTTTAAAGATTTTTTTTATAAAATTTACCAAAGATTTATGATTTACCAAGAGGTTTAGGGTTTAGGATTAGAATTTAGGGTTTACTGTTAAAATACTTTTTTAAAAGAATTATTTTTGTTTTTATTAATTATTATTATTACTTATTTATTTTTGTATTTTTATTTTTTAAAACATAATATAACTTAACAAGATTTTGTTTCTTTTTTAAAAAGATATCAAATATCAAATGATGCAATCCTATTGGATGGTGAATTTAGAGGTTCACCCCCTAGGGTGAACCCAAAAATAACTCAAAAAATAAACATAAGAAACGAAAGTTATGTTGGGGATGAAGCAAAAATACATAAGAAGTTTCGAATAAACCTGAAAACATCATTTTACCACAAAAAAAAACTGAAAACAGCAGAGATTTAAATCTCAAGTGGAAGCGTCAGGAATGTTTGGGACAATGGCAAGCGCTTTACACACGGCCAGTATTCAAGGTTGGCCCCGAGATTTTAGAGGTTACCTACATTTTACTGGGATGTGTCCAAAACCGACCTACTCAATGCCGCTAGGTGCAACATGTTTTCCTTCCTTCATGTCAAGTGTCAACATCTTTCTTTCGAACTCTCTTCCATTCGAAAAATTGAACCAACGATCCCAAATTCAGACTAAGGACAAGCTCGTCATCAAATCCTAAACGAAATCAACTTTTGATCCGCACCATTTTTTCTCGAACCTTTCTGGTTTGAATATTTCTGGCTCTTTCCATATATACGGATCTCTTTGCATGGCCATCATTATGCCACATGGAACATCGTGTCCCATGAGTCCATGACCATGCAATCCTAAGATGCCACATTGGCAGGACTGATTAAATCGATTAATTAATAATCACTTACGAGCTACGACTACCATTCCCTAGCTTGATGATGATATCCGTGTAATGATCAGGTTGAGTTTCTTGGAGAGGAAGCAAGCAATTGATCATAGTATTACCTTTTCTTCTTTCCGCATGTTTCTTGTCGACAAGTCCCTGCCATCAAATCTGAGTTTTGTTTTGTGTATGTAAGTTTGTAACAAACATGTACAATAAGGCCGATAAGATTAATCTACTTGGAAAAAAGATGGTAAAACTGTAACATCTCGAATTGTGATATATGAAAAGATTTAAGAAGATTGATTTGACTACCTATGTCACTAAAATGCTTTGGCCTCCACTTACATCCGTGTAAGTGAGACCAAAGCACGGAGAAAGATCGGGTGGTGATTGAAGGGTCAGTAAAAATGACTCTAGAGCCTTAAAAAATTAAAGGACCGGCCGTTGGAACGGGATGGACCCACAGGTTAAGAGAGCGGGCGTGGGTGGCCCATTAACCGTGGGCAGTCGGGGCGTTTCAAAAACGTTCGTCATTAATGGAGTGGGAGATGATGAGATACAGTAGTTTATTACACAAGCAAGGCTGAGGATCCTCAAGAGTTTGAGGAGGGACAAAAATGCGAGGCGCAGGTGTCCGATCTCAAACAAGCTTTTTTTGTTGGTTGGCCTTTTCTCGTCTATTATTAGCCAGTTGCAATTTAATAATTGCCTACTATGACCTAGATGATAGGAATATGGTTCCTTTATAGGGTTAAACTTAATTGTAGGATGAAATATATAAGATTAAAAACCATCATGTCATTATACATAAAAGTTCATTCTACAAAGTAAAACAAAAACAAAAAAAAAACAAAAAAAAACAAAAATAAAAACAAAAAACAAAAAGAGAGAAAAAAGAGTCATGGCAAAGTTTGCTTCTATCATCATCCTCCTCTTCGTTGCTCTTGTTTTCTTCGCTGCTTTTGGTAAGTAATTGACCTTATCATATGCATAGCGAATTAGGTTATTTTATTTATTTTCAGATTATTTGGTAATTAACCATGATATATATATATATATATAGATACAGCAGCACCGACGGTGAAGGAAGGGCAACAACCAAAGTTCTGCAAGAAGCAGAGTAAGGATTGGTCAGGTTTATGTTTAAAGAGTAGTTCGTGTAAGAAACAGTGCATCCGAGAGAATGCAGTTCATGGTTCTTGCAATTATATCTTTCCAGCTCACAAGTGTATCTGCTACTACCCATGTTAATCTACCAAAACTCTTGGGTATGTTGTTTGTGCGTTTATTTATATCTTTTGGTGTTTACTTACACTTTTTTTTTTAATGGCATGTGCAATGTATACTTATCTTGGTTTTGTAATAGTACAAACTGTTATGACTGTACGATGTATTACGTCTTCATCAGGACAATGGGACGTGTTTTACACATGGCATGCATCAGCATCCGTATAGTTAAATGCGTTTTTAACACTAATTAATTATGATATTATAGACTATGAGAAACTCTATTTTGATATGTTCTCGACATTTTTCTTTCCATTTTTCTTCCATTCTAAACACTGAACCAACAATCTCAGAACTAGATTCACTAACCGTTGCGCTAAACCAGATTCAGGACAATCTTGTCGTATCTGATTCCAAACGAAATAAACTTTGGGTCCATACTCTTTTTTGCAAACCTTTCTGGTTTGGTTTTTCTAGCTCTACACATATATATGGATTTATGTGAATGACTCATATGTTCAACAACATCATTGTGCCCGCGAGCATACAATCTTCAGATGCCACATGGAGGATTGATTAAATCAATTAGTTAATAAGTTTCTCTTGGCCTTGTAAAAGAGCAGCGAAGAGAAGAAAAAAGTGTGGCCAGAAGTACTGCCAATATCAAGAATCACAGTTAACGGAGCTGCCTCTAAAAGCATCTCTAATGAAGGGTTTTAGTTTTGGAGTCTAAAAGTACATAAATATGTATGTATATATTATATATGTGCATGTAATTATGGAATTCTAAATTTTACAGGAAACATAACTTAAAATATCAGAGTTAACTCCATTATGTTTCCCGTAAAATTTAGAACTCTGTAATTACATACACATATATAATATATATATATATATATATATATATATATATATATATATATATATATATATATATGTACTTTTAGAATTCCAAAACTAAAACTTCCCGTTAAGGTTGTTCTGACCTTTTTAAAATTAAACTGATTTTTTATTTAAAAATATCAGAGTTAGTGAAAAAAAATATCGGAGTTATTTCTAATATATAGTCCACTTGTTGAAGTATAAGTTTTGGGGTTTAGTACATCATGGTAGAACATCGTATATTTGAAATAAATAAATAAAATAACTTGATAAGAGAAGAAGTTCCACAGAAAAAATATGGTGGAGAATGCAGATTGGTGAAGATTTAGTATATTGACCAAAAACTTATGTCTTGGTCAAGATATTATCCTCATGTACTACACTGCAAATTAACAACGTAGCATTAGAACCACCCATCGTCAGCACACTGTTTATGAATTAGTCAAGATTTCAATTTATCTACTATGAACAAGGTATTCATGTGTTAATGTTTTCTACTAGAAAACTGACGTATGTATTTAATTTGTGGGGTTGCTACATTATTGTACAATTGCACAAGTAAAATACTAACTCGCCATCATTTCACTATAAATAGAGGTTGAACTTAGCGTTAGATCCTCATTCTACACATACATTGAAAACAAAGTAGTATATACATATCATGGCTAAGTTTGCGTCCGTCATGACCCTTCTCCTCGCTGCTCTTGTTCTCTTTGCTGTTTTCGGTGAGTAGTAATATATATATATATATATATATATATATATATATATATATATATATATATATATATATATATATATATATATATATATATATATTCTCATATGCATGGCGAAATGTGTTTTGAGGTTTTCCTTTTATTTATTTTGACACAATTAACTTTGAGTTATATATGTATATGCAGAAGCATCAGCATTACGGGGAGGGAAGGTGTGCATGAATCGAAGTCATGAGAGTCAGTCATTTTCAGGAGCCTGTAAATACGACGAGGCGTGCATGGATCATTGCATTAACCTTGAGGGAGGAGTCCATGGTAGTTGCAACTCTCTCTCCCCTACTGCTAAGTGTATCTGTTACTTCCCATGCCGTTAATCTACTACAACTCTATGGTGCTTATTTGTGTGTGAAATTTTATAAAATAAGTCTGTGTCACTCCATGAGTGGCGCCTAATGACATGTACACCTATGTTAATGTTGGATTGGTTATAATATAAACTTTTATGCACGTTCTTGTCCATAAAAATATGTAAGGTCCCAACTCCGACCTGATATATGGTCGAACGCCTTGACCATGCCATAGAACTACTAACGTGGTGGCATAAAAAAGAGAAAAATCAAAGCATAGCTTAAGCAGGTTACTTTGCAGCCGATAGTGATTGTGGTTTGAGTTTTCTTCATCCTTCCTTGAGCAGAGGTTGTCATGATATAGGTGTTATAGCTATAGGTTAATTAATGCTAAACTACTACCACTATATACATATTTATGTTGTTGACAACTCAATAAACAACCTATAACATTATTTTATCTAATAAGGTTTATCACAAAAGATCATAGTCGGGTGACATACATCATTACACAATGGAATTTATTTATTTTTTCTTCTTGAGACTCAATCAAATGGAAGTAATAGTATCACTAGGATAAGACCCGCGCCTTGCGCGGGATGAAACTATTATTTTTATTATGTTTTGAAAAATGAAACAATAGTTCGGTTTCATTCGGATTATAGGTGTTCAATCCGGATATCGGGTTTCGGTTCGGCTCAATTTTTTGTCCGATTTTTTGGTATTTCGATTATTAAAATATAACTACTATTCTAAATCTATATGTACT